AAAAAAAAAAAAAAAAAAAAAAATCAAGAGAAAAGGTCTTCAATTTCGGCATCAATGTCAACTTGAACGCCGGTTGCAGATGGAAGATCCGTCTCAGTAGCAACTGGCAGAACGATATCAGTCGATGGCTCAACAGTCAGGTCTTCCACCGTTGCCTCCAACCGAGCTGATTGATCGTTGACTTGCGCATTGACTACCGGAATAACAGTTTGTTCATTATCTGAATCATCTGAATCCTGCAAGAATTGTTCTTGGACCGAAGTAGCATATTCCGCAAGCGAGGCCGGAATAAAGTATTGTGGAGCATTGTAGACCTCAGTTTCAGGCCCATAGCCGAGCTACTCCACCGCACTTCTCCAGCCGCACTTGAAGAATAAATCCTTTGCCCCCTCGCATTGCGGAATGTATAGGCCCTCCGCTTCTTTGAAACCTTGGGCATTGGCATCACTGACTTTCTTCTTGAGTTCTGCTATTTCGGTATCTTTTTTGCCTTCGAGTTTGACCAACTCGCGCAAGTACTTGTCTTTCACCGTTGCCGCGATTTTTTGTTTTTCGGCTTCAGCCGAGCCAACAAGTCCGGTCAAGCGACCGTTCTCGAATTGTAGCTCGGCTATCTGCTTTTTGGCGCGCTCAAGCTCGGCCGTCTTTGCCTCGGCTTCAGCCATGACCTGCCTCGTCGTTTTCCTGAGCTCCAGCACTTTCTTATGCACAATATTGTTCTTCTGAATGGCCTGCAAAAGACCTCGTCGTTTTCCTGAGCTCCAGCACTTTCTTATGTGCAAGAATGTTCTTCTGAATAGCCTGCAAAAGAGTAGTAACTCTCTTTAGTCGGACTAACAGAGTTGGGAAAAATTAGACAGAAAAGGGAGAGCCACTCACCAGGATCATTGACTTTGTTGATGACCGGATGGCCTTCAGTTCGGTGTTGAGTTGCTTGTTGTGGTGCTCCATATCTTTTGGAAGGCACACACTCTTGGCTAGGTTGAAAGCCATTAAGTGGTCCTTCTCAGCAACAACCGAGTCACTTTCCTCAATATTTCGATTTTGAAAGGAGAGAACTGGAGCCCATTTTGAGGAGTCAGCTCGGTCAGATTGCTCCGGTTGAAGGATGGGTTGAGGACTTAGTGGAGGGATGGATTCGTCCTCATCCACAAGTTGTTGTTCGGTCGGAGCAGATCGGGCACGCTTAGAGGGGCGAGATGAAGAAGGCTGTTGAGAAGGGAGGGCCACAACGGCAGGCTGCGTTTGGCCTGGTGGCGGTACTTCGGGCTTGTTTGTCTCGGTTAGAAGCGCCCTTACTCTGTTCTTTTTGGCCATTTCTTCTTCGGCAGTTAGTGGAATTAGTCTGATTTGTGGTAAGGTTGGGTCCGGCTCTGGTGCGTCTTCAAGAAGAAAATCAGTCACTCTGGCTTTCCGACGACCACTGTATCTGTAGGTCGGCTCGAATTTGAGCAACTTGGCCCAACTACGTTCTGGATACCGTAGTGCGGCGCGCAAAGTTGCTAGGTTTGGGTAGCTATATAAGGAATAGAGGTGGACAGAATCTGCGAAAAGAAGACAACTGTTAGTTCGGCTGATAGATAAAAAGCCGAAATATCAAATAACACGCAAGAAAACCGAAGTAAGTATACCGAGTTCTCCTTTTTTCCAGTTTATAGGTCGGTCGGGAATCTGGGCTTGATGATCCTCAAAGTTCCTAGACACCCAGAAAAAGTCGTCGTCGTTTAAGTCTTTATCCGGTGTATGTTTTATTATCTTCTCTCAACGACGACGTATTCTCAAATAGTAGACCCACCCATATTCTTTTGAACCAATGGAGTATTGGTGGAAGATTTCGGCCAGGCCAAGGTTTGGTCCGGCTTGGCGGTTCAGTTCGCCTATTCCCATAATGATACGGTATGAATTGGTGGATAGTTCGGTAGGGCATAATCTAGTTTGCCTAAGAAACTCGCAGATTAAAGGTTGGACTGGAAATCGTAGTCCGGTTTCAATAATTGACAAAGAGGGTGAAGGGGACAAAGCCTTCATTATCCCAAGGAATGACATCTTTTTCGGCTAAAGACAGGTGTACGTTATCGGGTATATTATAGTCCTTTCTGAATTCGGCTAGGCCGCCTGGAGTGTCTACTAGATACCCATACTTCCCCATTTAGGATATAAATTATGAATAATTTATATCGGTGCAAAAGTTGTGCTCAGTAGCTCGGTTGAGTGCACGGAGGAGTGTCTGGGCAACCTAAGTCTGCAAAGTAGAAAACAAAGGGGTTAAACACAGATCATTGGATCGTGCTACAAATTAAAAGCAAGGTAAAAGAGCTCTACTTCGGTTTTGTGGACAGGTTCTATCTCGGTTCGGCAAAATGCTTGGTAGGTAGCTCGGTTTGAGAAAGGTTCTTATTAGCCAAATCTTGGCAAGCATCTCGGCATACTGGCTTTAGAAACAATTCTGTTAGACCGGTTCATCGTCTAGGGACAGCTTTCTGAGTTCGGTCTAAAAAACTAAGAAAGCTGGTTTAGCCCCAAAGGCCTAAATCAGTTGAACTATGAGTTTTGTTACTTCGGTTGAGCCTCTAGGGGCAACTTTCTGAGTTTGGTTCAGAAACTAGGAAAGCTGGCTTAACCCCAAAGGCTTAGCTCGGTTGAAGACCGAGGTTCCTAGTTTTATGAGTTCAAACTTCGTTCGGCGAGTTTATCTCGGCTAGAGTGATTCAAGAGTTGGTAACTTACTGAAACTACTGTTATTTCTACGAGTTCTAGTTCGGTTATTGTCTGAAGTGATCTACGTATATAGCACAAACAGTATCCTAGTTCGGTTGCATCATGATTATAGATCAAAAACTAGTTCTCTACTGGATGAATCATATGCTCATGTGTTCTACAGTTAAAGTTTTTTTTCATAAGAAGTACAGAGCAAAGCAAGAATAAAAAAAGTGTTTGCAAAAAGCAAACAAAACAAAATATACAGATACGAAAGCAAAACAGAGCAAGAAGGATAGGCTTGCTTACCAAATTGAAGAAGACCTAGATGGAAGCAGCAACAGTAAAGGAGGCACATGCGAAACAAACTTCACAGTTGCAAAAGTTGGATAAAAATGAAGAACTCAAAGAGAAGGAAGAAGGTGAATGGCAAAAGTAGAGGGACCTGGCCTCAGGGATAGTTTTTGTTAGAAAGCCCAAAATTTGGGCGGGACTGTTCAAAATTGTGAAACACGAAGACGGCGTTGACAGCTGCCTTCTGCGAATGGGAACGTGACACATGTATACGGAAAAGGAAGCGATTCAGTTTTTGGTGATTGAAAAGACGTTATGACCGGATGAGGGCGGCTCGGTTTAAGTTTAGCTCGGCAGGATTGACTAAATTGGTTGTAGCTCGACTGGAAGGTTTGGGGACTATAGCTCGGCTGATGAACGGTTAATCCCAATCATGCTGTACAGATGGAATTAAGGGGCAATTGAGAGGGTAATTTTGGTGAAAATTGGGCCGAGCTATGAGATGGACTTTATGGCCCAAAGTACGAAGGATTGGGTAACAAGGCCGAAAAGTTACTCCGCCCCAAGAATTGTAAAGTTACTCCGGCCCAAGAATTGTAAAGTTACTCCGGTCCGGAAGCAACTTGGAGTTAGGCCGGTCTCAGAGGTAGTCCGGTCATGATGTATTTATGGTTAGAACGGTCAAAACCTTGCTACTCGGTAGCTCGGTCTAAACACACCATGGGTTGAACAAGAGAGAACCGAGATAAGGAGGAGTGAAAGGAAAAACCGAACTAAGGATAGTTCGGCCTACTTTGTGGCTCAGCATAGCTAGTTTTATTTCGGTCATATGGTAGTTCGGTCATGGTAAAAACCATCTCACTTGGTTTAAGCAGTGAGGGGGGTGTTGAGGGATAAACATTATCTTTTAGGAGTATGAATCCTAGGAGGACTCTACATGGAGGAGTAGAAGTCCTACTAGGATTGTGCCACTCGAAACCTATAAAAGCTCACAAACATCACCTTTGGAGAGGTAACACACAACTTTGCTTTCTGAATACATAGAGCTTTTTGTCAAGTTAGCTGACTTAGGCATTGGAGAGGTTTCCGACACACACCCGCCGGCTAGCTCACGTTTGTGTTTTCAGGTGATAAAGCGACGTCGTACGGAGGAGCGCAAACTTGATCAACAAGATTATACGAGAAGTATTTCTTTCCCGTACAATAACACATTCATATGAATCTATTACATTGTATTGCACGTTAACATCCCCACCATATTGCATTATCACACATCATATCATAGAGCATATTGTCACCAATATGGTTTGAAAGATATTTCAAATGCTCACACACATTATGCAATTTCATACCTGTGTTGTTTGTCTAAGCACACTTGCGAAGCCAATGAAAAATGTCTTGCGAATCCTGTTCTCAGGATTGATACCAAGCCTTGTATGCGACAAATATTTTGGGAGTTTGCGTTAAAATTTTTGATATAATTGTTACTTACAATTTATAAATAAAAAAAATAGACATTAAAGTGATTGATTCTTAAGAATATAAGGGAATTGTGCTTTTAACTTACAAATTTTAAGCCTCCTTTAGGAACATGCTAATTTAGTAATTTTTTGATTATTTGATTAAAATATAAGGTAAAAAAAACTAGTATGTTTAGGATGACTTTTTAATTTTTTACGAAAAGATATGCAAAAAATAGAGAGAAAAGAAAATATTTGACTTTTTTATATATGTTGTTGACTTTTTGAATAATTTTTTGACTTTTTGGTTAAACCAATCCTTCCCAAATGAGGCGTTATTACTTGTTTTTGGTTTACAAAAAATTGCACCTCACCAGACTCATTATTCATTGTGGTTTCTACTATGTACAAGCATAATACCAATCGATCTATTCGAGGGAATTAAAAACTGTTAGAACAACCTAAAATCTACTTGAAATTTGAAAAGATATATGATAAGATTCATAAGTTTAGTATGTTTCTTTCAATAATGGTTAACAAAGAAAAAAATAAGTCATATTGAGGGCTTAAGTAAATGAATTTAAAGAAACAAAAAAGAAAAGAGCTACAATAATTGAAAAATTCCATTGACAGAGTGAGAGAAATTACAATGGAGGCTCATTTCATATGCCAACTTGCTGATCACAAAAAACTAACTTCCCTCCTTTCTCACAAAGCCCTTGTTCACCAACTGAATTAACTACCTTCCCATAACTATATCTCAAAGGCATCTTCCCCAAAATCCTATGAAACTCCCTTATACACTCCCCTCTCCTCTTCCTATGATCCCTTCTCCTACTACTCAACCCCACCTCCCTCACCCCCTCCTCCTCCCTCATCTCTCTCCTCAGCCACTGCCTCCGCCCCTCGTTCCTTGCATCCCCCCAATCCCTCGCCTTCTCCGCCCCCACCAGCACCGGCCCACTACTTCCCTCCTCCGCCGCCACAAAATTCATCAAAATGTCTTCGCAATTCCGCATTCGATCCACCACAGCTCTCGCTTCAACCATCTCTTTCCCACCTTCACAACTATACTTGTAAAGAGACTCAATTTTAGTGATCATGAATTTGGTGAGAATGATCGAGTACTTGTCCGGATGAACCGTGTAAATCCAAGTCCGCATTGACAGATCGATGTCGTGCGATCTCGCGAAGAACCCGACCAGGCGGTTAGGGTTTGAGGTCCAGATTTTGAATGCAAATTCGATTGATTTGGGGTCGATCTCGACGTCGTCGTCGCAGATGAGGACCGATCGGGTTGAGATGGAAGGGCGGGGGAGGAAGCGGGAGTTTAGGCTGTCGGAGGGGTGGCGGACGACGGAGATGGGGGCGGAGGAGAGGTTGTGGGAGAGTAGGGCTAGGGTTTGGGGCGGAGTGGAGGGATTTCCCCAGAGGACGAGCACTGCGGCGATTGATGGGGAGGCGGAGTAGGAGGCGGCGATGGAGCGGAGGAGGGGGATCCGGGATTCGGAGTAGCCGTTGATCAGGACAGTCGTTTGATCTGATCGGAGTGTGGTTGGGTCGGGTAGGGTTTTAGGGTCGCAGGGGTTTGGGGAGAGTGGTCGGAGAGAAATGACCGGAGGGGCACAAAAAAGTATTAAGAGGAAGAGAAAAGAGAGGGTGTTTGGCATTTCCGGCTGGGTGGGTCAGATCCCGATGAGTGTGTCAGATGCCGGCGACTGGGATTTGGAGTGTCAGGAGGAGGGTCCTTTTGCTGTTACGTTATGAGCTAGCTACCCATGTTCCGTTTGCTTTTGAAAACTAAAAACAAATTGAGTGAATTTGCAAACAAGATAGTCAAAAGTTGATTGGGTTGTTTAGGATGTTGTATATAAGTTTATTTTTTGATTTTTTATAAAATATAGGTTAAGTTTGAAGTGATGTGGTAGAGAGGTATGTGACTTAAATAAGATGGTAATTTTTTTGTGAAGATGACAAACTTAGCCTAAGTGGGCGTCTGATAAATGAGTTTTTATGTAAGTTTTTTTAGTTGTAGGATATTATTGGAGAAAGATTTTTTAGTGTTTGGGAAGATCGTTGGGGTTTTTTGTGGTTGAATGTGATATTTGTGAATGAAAAAATGAAATGATTATGAGATTAGATATAATATTTTATTTGGATTTGTTTTTTTTAATTTTGCAAAAAGTTTGTCTTTTAATGTAAAAAATCAAAAAAAACTCAACACACAAACTTCCCAAACACCACCCCTCATCTAGAAAGTTGACTATTTTAATTTGTAATTATTTTAATAAATTAAAATATTTGTATTTGAAAAGTGAATTAATTTTTTTTTTTTGTAATTAGATGTGATATTTGTAAAAAAAAATTAAAATTTTTATATTTGGAAAGATTGTTAGATTTTTTTTTTTTGTAATTAGATGTGATATTTGTGAGAAAAAAATTAAATGATTATGGATATGATATGACATTTTACTTTATTAACTATTTTAATCTATTTTATCTTTTTATAAATTTAAAAAAAAAAAATCAATTTTTATCTTTTCAAACACCACATAAATGTATCCATGAAATAGTCAAGTTCATTTAAAGTGGATGATTCTGGGATGTTTTGAAAAGTTGGTAAAAAGTTGACTTTTGACTTTTTACTAAATTTTTTCACTTTTTTAGAAAGTGATTTGAAAAGTCGGTAAAAAACTAGTTTTTGCCTTTTTGGATTAATATTTGTTTATGGTATCAAATCAAAATAAAATGACCAAAATATCTTTGCAAACTTTGAAATTTTAGGTAATTTGTTAACAATGAGGGTATTTACGTAATTTCACATGGCAGCATTTTTGTCACATCCCAAATGCAACAATTGCGTTTTCAGCTGGCCCAGCTTTTTTTCACATTGACAAAACGCTTGCGTTTTTATGCTCTTCCCAAAAAGGCACTCTATTTGCATAAAAAAAATCATTCAGTAAGTTTAATTTTTCAATACATTTTATTAAATTATTTAATATTATAATTTATTTCTCACTGCATTTTATATTTTTTCATAAATTATTCTTTAAAATAAAATTATAATTTGTGATACACCCAAAAAAATAAAATAAATGAATCCACCATGCGAACCATAAGATTCAGAACCTCCATCACCACAATCCATGTCAATCAATGTACAAGCAGGTTAGATGGAAAAGTATAAAGAGAACAAGAATGTCGAAGCAGTAGGAAGGGAATTAGTAATATTATATGCAATTTTTGTTACCACAACGCTGATGTAGAGAAATACTGGAGAAACTAGAATGAGATGGATTGATTCACCTCCAAATTAGAGAGGTGCTATCACTTTATGGTATTGCAGAAATTGATTGCACTAATACTTCTCTGAAAACAAAATGCAGCTACTCTACGGAACTTTTAATTTGTTATCTATCCGTTAAATTAGTGGATTATAAAAAATTAATCTGCATACGTCCATTAATTCGGCGGATATGGATTGAGCGAATTGACGGATAACAACGAATCGGTTTGGCAGTTTAAAATTTTATAAATTTTTAACTTAATTCAACTTGTGCACTTCTTCTAAAAAAAAAAAATTACAGTCAATAACTTAAAAAAGTTTTACAATCACTGCATGCCTCATCCAAAAAATGAAGTTTGAAATTTTAGAATATTACAATTACTGCATGCCTTATCTACATATTACAATCACAGCATACCTCATCTACATAACGTATTACAATATGTGGTTCTTAAAATATAAAAACAATTCAAACCACCAAAACCACGAACATAACAGTAGTAGAGATTGTATGCATCTGTATTGTTACATCTATATTTGTTTTTGAAAACAAAAATCAACCAAAATATATCATCTTTTTTATTTATTATTTTTAGAGTTAGATTTAAAAATAAAAAAATATAGATGAATAATACATTTATTTTTTTTAATTCAAAAAACATATTCAGAGTAAAAACTCTTTGTCAACAAAATATTTAAACTATTTTTCAATTTAAAAAGCAAACAGAATATTAAACAAATTGAAAATACAAAATATTACAAATTATTAGGGACGCTTGCGATTTGGTAGTTCGGTTGCGGCCAAAGGAATCTCAAATTTGTCATCCATCTAAAACTAGGCGGATTGAAAAAAAATCAATTCGCAACTGTCCGTTCGTTATCGCGCATCCATCCAAAATGCGGCATATTGGTTCAGTTCGGTCAATTTAGACGGATCAATATATCCGCTGCTTACTCCTAACTCTAGCCCTTCCTAGAATCCCGAATTATAAAGCCCAATACAGGGCAATGGCCCTTTTTTCTATGGCCAATATTTATTTATAAGAAACAATGATGTTAATAATAATGGTCAATTGTTATTTATAAGTCATTAATTTTTAAATTTTTGCTATAATTTAAAAAATTGTTCATAGAAGAATGTCATTAATTATAAGTTTTAGAGATAACTTATAAAAATGTGACAAAAAAAAGTTATTAATTGTCAATTTTTAACAATATATACAAAAAAATTGTCAAATTTTTTTTAACAACAATTTTATTATAACTTATTTTTAATATGACTTGATAGAAATTAAATTCAACTATTAAGATGTATTAATAATTTACTCAAATTTTAATTGAAGCACTGAATTACCATTCGGGTGAAAATAAAAAAGGATAAGCTTTGGGTTGGGTAAAAGCCCAACAAAATTAAATGGTATCGATCGTGCGAGCCCAACACACGTATCACAACACAAAATGTATTTTTTATTTTATTTTTTAAATTTTGAAATGAAGGGTTTCGGATAATAGAAAGAAAAATAATATACTAGTGGAGTTGGGTTGGGATAGAGGAGTAGAATATGAGCAGTGAATGTGAAAAAAGTAGCGATCATGTCTCTGATTCGGAGTCCGATTCCGAGCATGGTCTCTGCGAAGCTCAATTTTCTAGAGACGAAGAAGATGTTGCCATTGGAGCCCCCATCATCAGCATCAGCATCAGCAGCTGTAAAGGGGCGTTTTGTACAGGCTTTGCGTTGCACACCTCTCCAGCAATTCCAACAAAAGGTATCCATTTTCAAACCCCCTAACACAACAGCCTCCTCTTAACAACTACTAGGCTGTGGACAATTGGAATACCTACTATGTATGTATATATCATTGTTCAATCGACCCATAAATGCATCTGCTAATTGCTCTCTTCTCTCTCTCTCTCTCTGATTATTGTTATTTTTTTGTTAGCTGTGGGGCAAATGCGATGTGTTTTTAATTGTACATTTAAATTTTTGGATGGCTCGATAATTTAGACACAATAGCAGTTTTAGGCATCTTTTGGGAATTGGTTAATTTTTTTTTTGGTTTTTTTACGAAAAGATTTGTAAAAAATTACAGAGAGTTATGTTATAATTTATAGTGATTTTTTTATTTTTTGATTTTTTAAAAAAATCTAAAATAGCCTATTGACAAACAAGGCCTTCTATGGTTTGATGAATGAGAAAAATTGCGAGGAAAGAAAAGAAAAAAAAAAAGAAAAAGAAAAAAAGTGACAATGTTCACATTAAATGGGGTCTATATGCTTTATGTAATAGAATAGATGTGAATGTGTGTAAAAAGTACTTACTTTATATGCAAGTTGTTATTAGAATGCTTGAATAATCAAATGCAACGCATAATTCTTTTAAGAATAATGCTTGGGACCCCCTTTTGGGGGTCACCCCCTCACCCCTTTGCCACGTGGCAGGGGGTGATTGGTGGAGAAGGAAAAAAAAGAAAAAGAACAAGAAAAGGTAACCAATGAGAGAGAGAGGGGGTCAAAGGGGGTGGGGGGAAAAGGGGGATGAATCATTCCTCTTCTTTTAATGTCTCCTGGCCCTAAAATAACTTGCTGAAAAATGGCGGGCAGTTTAATGAACTGTGCTAGAGCAATGAATTGACGTATGATTTGGCTGATGGTTTGCGGTGATATGTTAGGCTTAGCTTAAGTATTCAAGCATATGCCATACATTGGGAAACTTGTTACTATGTCTTGTTGTGAACTGCATGAATGTGGAGATGTAATTTTGGTATTAGTGTTTTTTTTTTTTTTTTTTTTTTTTTTTTTTTTTTTTTATATGTATATATATAATTATTTTTGGCTTAAAGGTACTCCTGTATTTTTGTTATAGAGGTTGCAAAGCTAGGGTTTTAGCAAGTCAACAGTAATGCTAGGATTCCCATGCGTTGTTTTGCTCTAATACCATGTAAGATTAGAGACAAATTATTATTGTGTTGCCTTGATCTCTCCTACTTACAATGTGTTTAAATACAACCCAAATAGAAACTAACCCTAATGAACAAAAGATCACAAAAATGTATGGATCTTATGCAACTCAGCAAATCAACATCAATGTGCCAAGGATTTTGCAGTGGATGACATGGTTTTACTGTGTTTTAGGTGAGATGAATTTCCAATTGGCACTTAATATAAGCTAATTTCTAACAGTGTGGTCCATATACAAGACACAAAGATTAGTTTTTCTTTTCTTTTTTTTGGAGTAGCTGCCAGACATGCCAGTAAGTGCATTCTTCAATGTTGTTGAATTGAATACTTTCAAAGGTTATAGTTGAAGATGTCTTGGATATAGAAGGGATAGATGAAAATCTTATCCCACAACCCTTCAATGATTCAATCTCTTCTACTTTGTCTTCAACATTTCTTTCAGACCAAATTATCTAGTATATGGTACAAATAACACAATTCCAAGGTGCTCTCGTTTTCTTGTTAGACCCAAATCGTCTATATAGTTGGGTTGAGCTTGTTAAGTTTGTTAAGTCCTAGGGATGGTTGGTGTTGCCTCATGGTAGGAACATCCTCAATCTGTTATTTTATTTATTTATTTTTTTTTTTGGAGGGGTTGGGTGGGTGGGTAAATGATAATATCAGATAATAATGACAAATAAGTAAAAAGTTCCTAGTCATAGAATTTGATGACCAACAAGTCTCTTATAGGGCATGGTAGTGCATCCTAGGTTCCCATTTTGGAATTTTTATTTGCACCTCATGATTAAAACGTATGTGGTTGTCTTGATTGCCTTTAGAAGAATTTAACCCTTACAGAACTCAAATTTTGTTATTCCATGTCCCAAAGAAAAAAAAAATGAGAAAAAAAAGAACGAAAGTTTCATTTCATTGAGCAATAGGCTATAGCTTTAATTGAAAACCAGAAGACATTCTAATTGCTAAATTTCATAAAAGTTTCTGATAGAGTAAAATTCCCAAGAAGGGTTGGGTTGAGGATATTCGGAACTTTCGGCCTATTAGTCTTTTAGGCAATGTGTATAAGCTTTTGGAAAAAGTGTCGGCAAATCGATTACGTGGTGCGTTGGAAGGGGTGGTCTCTGAGTCTTAGAATGCTTTTGTGGGTAGTCGCCAAATTTTTGATGCGGTCCTAGTGGCGAATGAATGTATGGATCCTAGAATTCGACAGGAGCAGGCGGGGCTTATTTGTAAGCTCGACATTGAGAAGGCATATGATAATGTCAATTGGAAGTTTTTGCTACATATGTTGCACAGATTAGGTTTTGGGGATCAATGGAGGAGGTGGATTCAATTTTGTATCTCCACAGTACGGATGTCGGTGACTTGTCAATGGGTCCCCAGTGGGTTTCTTTTCTACTTACAGAGGGCTTCGGCAAGGGGATCCATTATCTCTTTTGTTGTTCATCTTAGTGATGGAGGTGCTGGGGCGGTTGTTATCTAAGGCGGTGCAGGGAGGTCTGTTGCAGGCAAGGTTCTGAAAAGCGGTTGCGGTCACCGTAACGGTGGCGGTGGCGCGGTTGCGGATGCGGGGCGTAAAGGCCGTAGCGTAACGGTTGCAGTAATCGAAACCGTGAATTTTTTTATTTTTCGCATAATTTGAAAAAAACTTATCGATACGCACATTTTTTTTCCATGATCATATTTATTAGGTTTTAAAATAAATATTAATTAATTTTTATAAATTTTTAAGTTTGATCCAATATATTTCATATTTTTAAATCACTATAAACTGAGTTTTTTATATTTTATTTTAATAATTAATGACTTTATATTTTACAAAAAATCAATCACTAATTATTATATATAAGATAAACAATGACAAAAGCAAGAAAATAAATAAAAGCTTAAATATATATATATATATATATATATATATATATTAATCAAGCCAAATAGATAATGACCACACTTATTATTATTATTATTATTATTATTTTCAAACAATATATAGATAGACATATACAAACAAAATGATTGAATGAGAGCAGCTGAATAGAATAGCATAGGTCTTACAGTTTCAACAAATCAATAACATGTTCTTCATCTTCTCTCTCTATCTCTTGTTCTTCCATTTTCCCTCTTCATCTTCCCTCTTCTCTCTCTATCTCTCTTTTCCCATTTTTTACTTTTTTTTTTTTGTATTTTTTCGAAAGAAGCAATTCGGAACCGTTACGTAACGGTGCGTAACAAGCCGTTACGGCCACTATAGCAACCGCTACGGCCGATACACCTGTGAATCTCAATCACACTGCAAAAGCGGCCGTAACGGGTGGCGGTAACTACCAAAACCGTTACGTAACGGCGTTATTACGTAACGGTTGCGGCCGCTTTTTAAAACCTTGGTTGCAGGGGTTTGATGTGGAAATGGCTCCTGCAGTTTTGATGGTATCCCATTTGTTTTATGTGGATGATGCGCTTATTTTCTGTGGAGCAGATGATGCTCAGCTTGCCCACTTGAGACGTGTGTTGTTGTGTTTTGAGGCAGTTTTGGGTCTTCGGTTGAACCTGGCCAAGTCGGAATTGATTCTAGTTGGTGAAGTGGCACGGACATCGGTGTTTGCAGTTATCCTGGCGTGTAAAGTGGCGTTTTTGCCAATATCTTATTTGGGGTTACCTCTGGGTGCGTCCTTCAAGGCCAAGGGAGTGTGGGATGGGGTGGTGGATCGGGTGCAGCAACGGTTGTCAGGATGGAAGCGACAGTGCTTATCTAAAGGTGGTTGACTCATATTGATTAAGAGTGTCTTATCTAGCATTCCGACTTACTTTATATCTGTTCATGTGATTCCAGTGTCAGTGGCGCAACAGATTGAGAAGTTGCAGAGGGATTTTCTATGGGGTAAGGGGGGACGGCTCTTATCATTTGGTAGCTTGGGACTAGATTTGTAGCCCCAAGGTGAATGGGGGTTTGGGGATTCGGAGGTTGGCTGTGTTTAATGTGGATTTGTTGGGCGAGTGGTTGGAGCGTTTTGTGGAGGAGAGCACTCGTCTTTGGAGGAGGGTGGTGGTAGCCAAGTTTGGTGAAGGAAGGGGAGGGTGGTGTTCAGGGCGGGTGGGGCAGTCCTATGGTCTTGGTCTATGGAAAGGGATTTGGCTGAGGTGGGAGGAATTTTGGAGGAGGTTTAAGTTGAAGGTAGGCATGGGGGATAGAGTTCGGTTTTGGCGGGATAGGTGGTGTGGTGATATTTCCTTAGAAGTGCGGTTTCCTTTGATTTTTGGTATTGCCCTTGATATGGAGGTGCGGGTAGGTGTTGTGCGATCTTGGCACAGGGATTCGACTGTTTGGAATGTGCATTTGTGTTATGCTGTACAGGATTGGGAGTAAGATCAGCTTTTGGAGCTGTTGGGTTTTTTATATGCGTTGCGTGTTGAGGAGGCTGGGCAGGATTCTTTGGTGTGGGATTGCCCTAGGGCTAAGGAGAAGTTTTCTGTATCCTCATTTTATGGTGCGCTTGTTCATGTAGAGGCTGTTGTGTTCCCTTGGAGATGTGTTTGGGTGTCAGGTATGCCGTCCAAGGTGGCCTTTTTTGTGTGGACGGCCATGTTGGGACGTATCTTGACCCTGGATAATTTGATTCGTCGTGGCCACATTTTAGTCAATTGGTGTTGTTTGTGTTGTGGTGCTCTGGAGTCGGTGGATCATTTGTTGGTTCATTGCCCGGTTGCTTCCCGTCTCTGGATGCTTGTTGTTGCAACCTTTGGTTTGGCTTCGGTGCAGCCGCATTCAGTTAAGGCAGTTATGCAAAGCTGGGCTGGTGGTCGAGTTAGGAGGAGGCGTCGGAAGGCGTGGATGCTCGCTTCTCATTATCTTCTATGGTTGGTGTGGTTGCAGCGTAATAGACGTGTTTTTCAAGGAATGTCTCATTCGGTCCCTTGGTTAGAGAGTCATCTTCTTACGATTTTGTGTAGTTGGGTGACACACTTGGTCAATCATGATGTTTTGGCTTTTTTAGATTTTGTGGAGGATTTGATTTGTTAATTCTTTGAGTCGTGGTGGCTTCCAGTTTTGTATCTTTTTGCATCTTCTTGATGCTTTTCTCATAAAGTTTGGCTAATTATCAAAAATAAATAAATAAATTAAAAATAAATGTTTTCATGTTTGATTTTCTAGAGAGAAACCTAAGAGCACCTAAGCATTATCACTTTGACACCATTTCTTACAGAGGTTAACCATTAGCTCTATTGATATGGATAAAAACTTTCATACCAAATTATAGTTTATAAATACCGAGGGCAATAGAATTTTGCAGAGTGTCATTATACACACATTTACCCATTTTGTTTGCTTGCTTCCTAGATGCCATAAATCTTTGAACCTCTATATGTCTTTACTACTCTGCTGCAGCTGAATTTGCCTGCAGTCCTATGTCTTCATACACTTCTGCTCTTTCTTTCTTACTCTGATATAATTTTTGTTTCAATTTGGAAGGTTGAATCCGGAATTATGTGTGAACCTTGCGATGGAACAGGGTGGTTGCTTTGTGATTTTTGTGAAGGGCAGAAGACCAATGTGAAAGCTGCTAACAATCGAATCTATCGTCGGTGTCCATCTTGTAGAGCTGTAAGTAGCTCATTAGTTCACCTTTTTTGATTTACTTCACTTATGCAAATTTCTACCAATGCTTAATTTTATTCATCAAGCTCATCCAATCTCCATCGAGATAACTGCCGTAGCCCTGTCCTATCATCTGTATAATGGAGTTTGTCATTTTAATTCATTGAAAAAGGCAATTATTTTAAAAATACAACAGCTGGAAACTTTTCAGTCTTCGTGATCAAATATAAGTGGGTAGTCCTAATATTCCTTCTTTTGCAATATTCTAATGACATGGACCCCTTTCACAAAAACATGAAGTCAAGAATGCTAACTATTTTACCTTATCTTTTGGCCGCAGATTGGATACATCCTGTGTTCGAAGTGCAAAGTTTTCAAATGTGTTACCTTTCCTAATTATAGTGACGGTGAGGATGTAACCTTTTAAGTCTACTGTTCGATGCGACTGGCATTCAACTATTCTCCTGTTGGATGCAGCAGGTTAGTTTTTTTATCCAGGTGTATTTTGAAACCAAAGAAGATGTTCTTTGAGAGGCACTTGCATATTTTGAGAGATAGATGCTTAGCTTATGTGTCATATGACCTATATTAATTCTTTGTTATTCTAATTGGAGCAATATGCAATTGGAAAAAGTAAAGAATGGCTTCTGTTCTTGATTGCTGAATTTATTATCTTGTACCTAACAAGGACTACTAGTGTAGGAAAAAACTTCAGACCTATAATTCAAGCTTAGCACTCTGATTTTCAGCTTTGAACTCCATGATTTTTAACTAATGCTTTCTGCTCCCATTTCTTAGTTTTTACCCAAGACTAAAGGTAGGAATTGCAAATGAAACAAGTGGAAATAATTGCAAAAATATAGATGTGCAATTAGATCTGTGCTCTGGTGTAAGTGAAAATTGTGACCTTATGGAGGACTTAAACTATGCATTTTGTGTTATTATGTTGCTCAATATTTAATTGTGTCAAAATTTCATTCTCCAAGTATTAAATGAGTTAAATTGGTCTCTATGAATAATGTTATAGTATTTATCATTAGAATAAAAACAAAAAATTACCCTTTTTGAAAAAAGTAGCCTTTTACAGATTGACTTAATTAAAATATTATGGATCAAAATGACACATACATTTTGAACCAAAAGTGTAATTAACATTCTTTTGTGATTTCTTTATTGCGAAATTATTATTTATTTTGACAATGAACATTAACTATTTTAATACATATTTAATATTGGGATTGGATTGTTTCCGACTTGGAGGGTGCCGTTGGGCTCTACGGAGGGGTTCATCACAAATCTCGACAATTTAAATTGTTTATTTTATAAGTTTTTTTTGTAATCTATAAATAAAAAAAAAAAATCAAATTGATATAATAATTAATAAAAATGATTGAGACCACTAATTAGTGGTGGCACCAATGATATGGTAGTGTGCCTCACACACTGTTAGGGGTGAGCAGCGGATATATCGATCGGTCAAAACTGACTGAACCGAACCGATTCGCCGCATTTTGGACGGATGCGTAATGGCGAGCGGACGGTTGCGGTTTGATTTTCTTCAATCCACCAATTTGGTGGACGGATGGCAGATTTGAGGTTTCTTTAATCGCAACTGAACCGCCAAACTGCGAACACCCTTAGTAATTTATAAGATTTTGTATTTTCATTTTGTTTAAATATTTTGTTTGTGTTTTTAATTGAAAAAGAGTTCAAATATTCAGTTAAAAAAAAGTTTTCAACTTGAATATATTTTTTAAATTGAAAAAAATAAACGTATTATTTATCTATATTTTTTGGTTTTTAAATCTAACTCTAAAAGTAATAAATAAAAAATATGATATATGCTGGTTGGTTTTTATTTTAAAAAACATATATAAATATAACAATACAGAGACATATAATATTTACTATTGCTCTGTTCATGGTTTTAGTGGTTTGAATTGTTTTTATATTTTAAGAATCATAGATTGTAATATTTTATGTGGATGAGGTATGCTGTGATTGTAATATGTAGATGAGGCATGTAGTGATTGTGATATTCTAAAGTTTCAAACTTTTTTTCTTTAGATGAGGCATGCAGTAATTGTAATATTTTTTTAAGTCATTGACTGTAATACTTTTTTTTTTTTTTAGGAAGTGCACAAGTTGAACTATATTGAAAATTTATAAAATTTCAAACCGCCAAATCGATTTGTATTCATCCGCCAAACCGCTTAATCCGCATCCGTCGAATTGGCGGACGGATGCAGATTGATTTTCTCCGTTCCGTCAATCTGGCAGACGGATAGCGGATTGGAGATTCCGTGGCCACAACCGACCCGCGCCCACCCCTACCCATTGTCAGAGTGTTGCTGTTTTTTTTTTTTGATTTTTCACCTTATTAGTGGTGATTTAGTGGTACCAAATTAATGGTACCAATCACTACTGAATAATTAAAGTTGTATAATTTTATTACACATGTCTTAAAAAAATAACTAAATATATTTTAAATTATAATTGTCTATTTTTTTTTTTCTTGAAGATAAATTTAATAAAATACTGTGTCTTTAATTATATCATATTATAATGATTTTTTCATAAATTGAAGACATAATAAAATAAATAATTTAAATTATCAAAATAAGATTTAAAATAACGTGCAAAGTCAATAGTACTCTCCGGACCTCTCCCTTAAATATATTTTAAAGAAGAAATAGCACAATCAGAATATCCAAAACTAAAATGACGTAAAATGTAGGTTGAGAAACCGAAAGTGTAATAAAACTTTCCCAAAAATAAGAGATATTTTTTTGTGAGATTTGAAACCGATCAAGAGAGAGAAAGTGTTGTAGGAATGAGTTAGGCACACACGTGTATGGCACCATAATGATAATAATATGTATAGGTGTTCGAGTAGCATAAATAATAACAATAAAAAGGATAGATGATAATAGTATAATTGGATAACGCATATCACTTGGCTACGAAAACGGCTATCCATTTTAAATTTCATTTGGTTATTATTCTTTTGTTAAAGATAAGTCATTTGTACCAACATTAAAAAATTTATCACGACTTGGACCCAAAAATAGAACACTGAGTAATTGTGTCAGAAGTACACTAATATATAAAATATTTCTCAAAATTGCCATCTATTTTAATTTTAGGGGCACTACCACTCACACTATTAATTAGGTAAAAAAAGGAACGTTCAAAAATGGTAACATTTAGGGTTAGGGTGATAGATAGATAGATGGATGGATTATTTATACTATGTTTAGTTAGGAAATTTATAAAAAAATTTAAAATAAATAAATAAATAAAATATACCTAAATTTTATATATATTTTTTCTTTTCTTTTGTAAATTTTTCCAAATCTCCCAACCAAATCTAAAGAAATAAAAGAGTGAGTGAGTGATGACACACAACACATACATGAGAATGGCTTGTGTGCGCGCTTGCACTCTTGTTGGCCACCTCTTCTCTCTCTCTCTCAATTAGATCTTTCTTTCTTTCTTTCTATTTACCAACATGCCATTCTTTCTACTATTTTTTTCAATGCCTTAATTTTAAATCTCTTAAACTTTTGTTGAAATATGTCCACCACCGCCCTTATGTAGCTCTTATTATTCGTGTATTCATTCAAATTTTTCTCTCCCACCTTAAAAATTTATTTGTATTAATTATGTGTTATATTTTATTTTTATTAGTATGACTATAATTTTTTTCTTATTTCATTCATAAGCTACTAAAGTTTCTTAATTTTTTTTATAACTTCTACGGTTTAATTGAAGACGATTATCCAAATTAGTAATCATTAAAGTCTAATTTGATAAGTCAAAAAGTTAATTAAGAATTTAAAAACAACTGTCCAAACACTCAACTTAAATCTTTTTATTATTAATTTGAACAAATTACAGACCACAACCAAACATCCATAATCTTCCCACCCCACCCCACCCCTCTCTTACCCTCTCCTTCTAATTGGATCATATGAACTTAAATACAAAAATTATAAGATGAAATTAATAATTTAGGGTATAAAAGTTAAATTAACCATTTTTCCAATCAATAGGAAATTATTTTGTAAGTTTCATGAGAATTACATTAAATTAGGCACTCAATTATGTAATAAAGTGTAACAAAATATACTTGTAGCAAAATATGTAATAAAAGATTTATCAATTTTACTTAATTTTATCTTTAGTAGGTAGAAATAATTTTTAAAAATTAAAAAAAAAATTTCTTTTGGCATTTATTTTGTCAAATTAGGCCTCGTCTGGCATGCAAGTGTTTTAGTCAAAAAGATACTAAAAGAATCAAAAAGTTTATAACTAATACCAAAAAGTCAAAGAGTCATTTTTCTTTTTATTTTTTACAGATCTTCTCGTAAAAAATTAAAAAGTCATTCCAAACATACTAATTTTTTTTTTTATTTCATATTTTAGCCAAAAAATCAAAAAATTACTAAAATAGTCTATTTCCAAAAGAGGCCTTAGTTTATATTTTATTAAATTGACGATTTTACCCTTGAAATTAAGCAATGGTATCTTCAATTTTTCTTATTTGGAACAAGATTCAAAATTTAAGATCAATTGTATCACAATTGAAAAATCAGAAATTAAAGTGACACGAGTCCTAAACTATAGAAACTGTTAACGTAATTTGCCCTAAATTTTATGGTCCAAACAACTTTTATTGCACAATTGCTACCAATTTAGGATTCGTTTAGGAAGTGGGTTAGTTTTTGACTTTTTTTTTTTTTTTAATTATTTTAGTCTGGGCTAAAATAATCTCGTTTGGGAAGAGTTTTTGACTTTTTTGTAAGAGAAAGAATGTAATGATTATGAATTGGAAGTGATGTTTTGTCTTATTAAGTTAAAAAATTTATTTTATTTTTTATGACTAAAATAACCAAAAAAATCCCAAACTTAACTTTGCAAACGAAGCCTTAGTAAATATACTAAACTCTAGAGGCATATATATAGGAGACCAAACGGGACAAAAAAGAAACAAAACTCTCAGGTCATGTTTGATTCACAATACTAATAGTGAAGTATTAATAATCCTATTAAATTAGTGTGGTATTAACTATCCCACCCCTACCCCATTACTAATAATCCTACAAATTTGTTGGATTAATTATCCATTGGATTAATAGTCCTAAATTAAAATGTCAAAACAAACATAGGATAATTGGACCCACGAATTAATAATCCTAATCCCATACTTTAATCATTCCAATCAAACATGCTGATTAGGCCTGTGTTTCTAATTTAATAGGAAAGTGGAATTGTGCTTTTTGATTGTTTCTCTCTCTCTCTCTCCTGCTCTTCAAGGTTGGATGTTGCATTCATTCAAGTCCATATACATTAAATTCTTGTTACACTATATATACATACAAACATATATATATATATAGAGAGAGAGAGGTCCAAAGAAGCCAAAGAACGTTAAAGGAGAGGAGCTAACTCACACAAAATATACAAACAGTTGCACAGAGAGAGAGAGAGAGAGAGAGAGAGAGATGGAATGGAAGAAGTGTTACTTGGATGTAATACTGGTGCCAATGGGGTTTGTGATGACGATAGGTTACCATGTTTGGTTATGGCATATGGTTAGAACCCAACCTCATGTGACCATCATTGGAACCAATGCCATGGGTCGCCGCTTATGGGTCTCTTCCATCATGAAGGTAATAAATTTAAACACTCACTCTCCCTCAAAATACAAATATAGTTTTTTGAGTATTGTTGCAAAGAATCATTTTGATTTTACAGAGGAAGCAAAGCATATATATATATATACAGGGAGTTAATGAGCTCACAAGCAAAGAATTCCGGCTTGCCGACTCTTTTGTGTACCCACCACCACCTGAGGGTGGTACTTTGAGGTTGGGAGCTTATTCCCATGTAATTTGAAGGCAAAGATTGGGGACCAATAGACTCATGCACATTAATTTTGGGTACCCAAGCTCATTTTGAAAGATGGACTGTGAATACCCCATGTGTAGTACTTTGTGGTGTGTTGCCGGGCTGGTTTAGGTTACTTTTGTCCAGCTACCTAGCAGGTGGGAGCTTTCTATAATCATAATCAAGGAGGATTACAACGTGGTGTTTGCCTAGCATTTTTTTTTACTTGCCCAAAAAAACTTACTCATACCTGCTACTAGTTCCTTAGTTGGGAGCTAAGTAACGCGATGACTCAAGTTCGAGTCCTCACGAATCTCTCATGTCCAATATCCTGCATTAATATTATCAGATCCATCTAGGTCAGTCTTGTCCAACTCCCTAAGACCGCAGGAGTTTCAATAATCACACCCAACAAAAATTGCTTTTTTAACCTCAAAAATATCATGATTCAATAATCACACCCAACAAAAATTGCTTTTTTAACCTCAAAAATATCATGAATCATAAAAATTTATCCCAAATTTTACTATGAAAGTGAGTGTGTGATGTGGTTTTAAAATTAGTGGGATATGAGTTATATTTACAATTGAGGTAAACCATTGATTATTATTTTTAGATAATTTTCTGAGTTCATAACATTGTTAGTTTCTTTTCACCTAACAAAAAAATCTTAGAAAATGTTGATTAATGTCATTTTATTTACCCCTCAATGAGATTCTAAGTCTTGTCATAGCGTAGGAAATTATTCAATATCTAGTAACATTATTTACGTATTATTTCCACGAGAGGACTGGAAATTTAGAGTTTTTAAACTCCACGAGGCTTTCATGGTGGAGTTGAGGCCGTTTAGCAATTGAATCCAAACAGTCAATCTCTTTATCAAATGATTCCCCCTTAATGTCAATCTCTCTATCAAATAATTCCCTTTTAATTTTTTTTAAAAAAAAATTTAACTGTAACAACCCAATCTTGTGATATTGTATATCATTTTCAGTTATCTTTGGGGGGGTTTATTGTCAATCGCTTTCATTTCCAATATTTTCCTTTTCATAATGCAAATATACTACTACTACCTTTCAATTCCACCCAATGAAGACATTAGTCTTTTTTTCCATTTTAGCCCTTCTACTTTCAAACATTACTTTTCCCCGATGTTTGAGGGGATTGACAATTGTTTTCTTAGCAAATTTTTTTATTGGGTGGCCTCGTTTGGGAACAGGCTTTTTTAGTAACTTTTTGATTTTTTGACTAAAATGTGATATAAAAAAAATTAGTATGTTTGGAATGATTTTTTGACTTTTTACGAAAAGATGTGTAAAAAGTAGAGAGAAAAGGGAATCTTTGACTTTTTGGTTTTTTGGTTTTTTTAGTAACTTTTTGACTTTTTAACTAAAATGGACACTTGCCAAACTAGTCATTCATTTTTAGTGAAATATTCAAAAGATTTTTCATTTTTAGTATACGTTTTTTTGTGACGAGTTGTTCACATGTCATTTTCTGTCAACTTCATTAAAAATTGGTGAATAGGAGGGTAATATTACGATTTTAATTAAAATTTAAAGGATTGATTATCACAATTGAGAGTGAGAATTTGTGAAATTCTAATAAAAAATCAAGGATAATTTTTTTGACAATCTTTCTGAGTACCTAGCATTAACCAATGTCTTTGGTCATGTAGGACAATGAGAAGAAGAACATCTTGGCCGTCCAAACCCTAAGAAACACCATAATGGGATCAACCTTGATGGCCACCACCTCCATCCTCCTCTGCTCTGGCCTTGCTGCTGTCATAAGCAGTACCTACAGTGTCAAGAAGCCGCTCAATGACGCCGTCTACGGCGCTCACGGCGAGTTCATGGTGGCTCTCAAATATGTCACTCTCCTCCTAATCTTCCTCTTCTCATTCATGTGCCACTCTCTCTCCATAAGGTTTACAAACCAAGTCAACTTCCTCATCAACTGCCCACAACAACCGCCGGAGACACCGTGCGTGGCGGTGACTGCCGCCTACGTGTTGGAGCTGTTGGAGAGAGGGTTCATGCTCAACACTATTGGGAACAGGCTCTTCTATGCAGCTTTGCCTCTCTTGCTTTGGATTTTTGGGCCAGTGTTGGTTTTCTTGTGTTCACTCACTATGGTCCCAGTGCTTTACAATCTCGACTTCGTGTTTACAAATGACAAAGGAAAGGGGGGTGAGATTGAAAGCAATGGATACCACCATGAATCTGTGTAAATTTTTTTGAAGGCATTTTCATATTAATTATATATATGGGTTGGTTGATTATATGATTATTTATGTTTATCATCATAGTGTTATTTTATTTGGCATTATAGTTTTTTTGCAGAAGTGGGATTTACTCTAAATATATAGTCATTGACTTATAATCTTGTTCTACTGCATGGGCATGGCACTAACTAAAGAAAACATTTCGTGAAGGGAAAATTCAATACTTTAGTTTTTGTGTCATTTAGGTTTTCAAAATTTCAATTGACTTGATTTTGATATCGAGTTTATGATGTTTTTTCAATTTGGTTTAATTGTAATCTTAATCAACTTAGTGAGTTAATCTTAACCAACTTTTTGATTATTTTTCATCAAAAATCCTTACCAGCGTTATCAATTGGACTAAAATTGACACAAAATAAAAAAAAAAAAAAAAATTAAGAATAAAAATTGAGCTAATTAAAAATTTAAGGACCAAAATGACACAAGAAACAAAATGCAAGAACTACCAATATAATTTGTCCTTTGGTAAACTATAAGAAATGTGATAAATGCATTTTTGTTTCATCACAATAGTGCTTAAAGCTTCACCCCGACTAGTCTTCGGATATATGTAATTCCCCGTTTCACATGTACCAAGTCATTATCAAGCCAAAACTCTGAAAGTAACTTCAAAGGTGGAGTGAGGAATGAAATTTTAAACTATTGGTCTACCCTAAATGTTGGAATACACGACATCTCTCATAAGAGTTAGAAAGTCTATGAGAACTAGTAAATTAGTTTATAATCAGTGAACTGAACGTAATCAACTTATAATCTTCTTCTAGTGCATGAGCATGACACTAATTAAAGAACTTGTGGGAAACTATAATAAATAGTGTAATACATCATTCCCATTTTGTTCTCTAATGAGGTGGAAGATAGAGAGAATAGAGAGAGGAGTGTAATTCCTCTTCACATGGTCCATTCCATATCATTAGAAATGGATTGGAGGTACTCAATCAGAACTGCCAAATATTTTTCATCAAATATATACTAATCAAACTTATAAAATCTTGTTCACTAGTGCATGCATGCATGGGTATGGCACTAATTAAAGTGAACTTTTGGGAAAACTACAAAGAGATAATAATATAATATAACGGCAATAGTTTTGAAGGTGATTGAAGCATATATAAATAAAACAAAACTTAAGGGCCACCGCCACCACTATCAAAAATAAAAAAGAACCAAACAGGTTTGTAGTGTTGGAGATATTAGTAATACTCACTAATGGTTTAAATGTTTAGATTTGTTGTTAATATGATATGTGAGCAGGTAATAGATTTTACATATAAATTTCACTATCTACTCAATAATAATTATCCTCTTTATGAAACGTGTTGAGCCTCTTTATGCTCTTTATGCATGTTGTTTAGCCTCTTTATGAAACGTGTTGAGCATATAAATAATAAAATTGCCGTTCAAACTTTAGACGAATTAGTGATTAATTGATATAATCCAGAAGTTTATCTGTCAATTTCTAATTGGTTTTGCGTCTGTGGTATGTTGTCTACAAAACTCTAAACTCTCTTATCACATAAAACAACTACTTTTGCTTTTAAAAAACAAGAATCTGGGGTTGGTCGGTCTGACCGGAGTTCCATTCTATAGTGTTTTCTTGTATGTATTTGAGGGACTAGACCATATGTTATTTGGACTTGTGTGATTCTTGAATCCAAAGCTTCAAATGTTTCAAGTTATCATGTATTTTAATCCTATTCTTTCATTATAGCCATGTGTGTTTTTAATTGAAAATAGTTTGTAAACTTGTTTTTGCATAAAATTTAAAACAAAAACAAAAATAGAATGGAATTTTTGATGGAGATTATGACTTGATTGGAGTTTTGATGTGATATCTTTTGACTCGGTAGATTCATGAAAAGTTTGGGGTTGTAATCTTGTTGTACCAAGAAACGAATCTTCATTTGTACCTAAAATGTTTAGATGTTTTGGAGTTTATAGATTCATATTTATTAGGCGATGATAATTTGCCCAAAATATTTTTTTTTTATATGATGATATTAGGATGTTTTTTTTGTTGTGTTACTGGGCCTACTCGGATGGATTAATTTATTCCTCTACTTAGTCTTCTTGATGTATATTAGGTCATTTGCAAAAGGTATTGTATGACAGAATATTCCTCCAAATAGGCAGTGCCCAATGATTTTTGTTTTGTATGTCCTATTTTGTGGCTTCTAGATGATGGTTGTAAAATTCATTAATCGAGCATATGTATTGTATTGTAGTTTTTCAAGATTATTGGTCGCCTCCCTCATTAGCCCCCTCTGCCACCTCTAGCCGCTACTACCCAGTCCTTTCCTACCCTTCACAGTCGCTACCTTCTCAACACCACCATCGTGAACTAGCATCCCTAGCGCTACCACTACAACCAAACCCCACTTCTTCTCCTCATTCTCTTTATTCCTTAAATCATATATCTAAAAACCTAGATCTACTCTCTCTCTCTCTCTCTCTCTCTGGGTTGGGGAGGCTGGGGGTGGCAACGATGAGTTGGAAAGGGTGAAGAAGGGCTGAGGGTGGTAGTTGAAGGTCATGATGATGGGCGGTGGCTTGGTGGAGATAGGGTTAGGGTTTGGGGATTAGGTAGCAATAACATTGGAATTAATTGAGGTGTTGAAAGAAAAATAACAAAACTTAAATTTGAAAATGGAGTGTTCAAATAAATAGGGTGTCCAACCAAATTTTTTGTCTGCATTTGGAGGTGCCAATTGAGAGATGTGTGGAATTCTGTACAATTTCTTAATGTATGTTACTAATTAGATTAAATTGACAAAATGTAAAATATTAAAGGGCAATATTGGTACTTCACTGTAGAAAAGTTGGGCAGAAGTTGAAATCAAAAGAGACAAAAAAAAAAAAAAAAAAAAAAAAAAAAAAAAAAGCAAAAAATGCCACTTTCATATTTTTATTTTAGTGAGCACACAAAAGTAGGATGACTCATTCACAGCCATATTCTATCAAACATATTTCAGTTTAGTGCTAGTCCAGATCAACCTCCATTATTGCTTTGCACCATTTTTTGCTTTGTGTAAAGCTCCACGTCAACACTTTAGTTTTGCTTACTGGAAATACCACTGCTGACTTTTTCTTTGGCAGCCAACTTGAAATTAGTTTTGTTATTTACTTGCTTTGGGAATCAAAAAAAATAAAATAAAAAAGGCTAATATTACTACATTCTTTTGTATCAAACTTCAATTTTAATCTCTTAATAATGAAATCAAATTACAAAATTTAAATGACACATCAATTTTTTCACCCAAAAATAACTAATTATTATAACTTTTCAAAGGCATTATTTTTTTAGTTTCCTAAAAAAATGAAAAAATTATAAATAAATAAAAAAAAAACAAGTAGTCACCGAATCTGGTAATTAAAGGTGACTTCAGAGGATACTTAGGTAATTTTCAACAATAAAGTGACATCTTTTATTTTTATTAAAAAAAAAAAAAAAATTGAGTAAGAGCACCGTACCCACCAAGGGCACAACTCCAACAAAAAATTAAAACAAAAATTGATTGCGATAAAAGGGTTGATTCTCAAAAAGAAGTTTGAAGTAATTGAGTCATTTCCATATAAATTAATAAAATTTTCTTACACAGATAAATTATTTCTATCATACATTATCAACATGAATACTATTCTAAATTTCGTCTGCATGCATCGCATTTGTTACTAAAATTCTTTTAAATTTCTTTAGTTCCTTCTTATTTATTTATTTTATTTTATTATAATTATGCTAGATGCATCCAAAATTTTCACAATAAATCCCAAAACAAAAAACAAAAAATGGATATAAAATTCCCATGTGGGTGTAAAAGTTTTCTCTGCCACATTTAATTTCCTTTGTGTTTTGCCTCTCTTTGTTTTGTACTTCCTTTTTACAATGCATGTATACATACATATATAATAAATCATTTACTTCACCTTTCTCTCTCTCTACCCCTCTCTCTCCTAAGTGCGCTCTCTCTCTCTCTCTCTCTTTGTATAGCTTACAGATTAAGAAAGCAAAATCCATATAAGAGGTGTGATACAACAAAATGGATCAAAAACCAGTGGAGGAGGCATCAATCTACGGCGGCAGAGGAGGAGGAGGAGGAGAGATGAAGCGAAGCCAATCGGAATTGGCTCTAGAAGAACTCTTTAGCAAAGATGAGAAAGTTGGTGGGAAAATTCGGACACAAAGAGCTCGTGTTTTTGCCGATGCTGATGCTTTTCTTGGCCTTGATGTCAGCCAAGCCCACTCTAAATGTTTTTGTGACGTTTGTGCCGCCACCGCCGATCTTACCATCCCTTTCCGATATCAGGTTACTCTCTCTCTCTCATCTCTCTTTGTATCTTCAAATTTGTCTATAATATCTATACTCTTATCTATCTACTCTTACACAATTCATTTAGTGGGTATTTTGTCACAAAATTTTGATTTTTTTTTTTTGATTTTTTTATTAAAAAATAACCACAATAATACTAAATTTTCTTTACTATTTAACTTTGCCTTAAAAAAGGCAAAATCAATCAACAAAATTGACTGTGTTCAGTTGTACACTATTCGCTCCACTCTCACCCATGATCTCCTACAATTTCAATTGCACACGTTATTGTGCAAGTCTTCAAGTATTATTATATCTATTCTACTACACAAAGCTTACACCTAAGTGGGCGTACCTCATCTAAACTACTTAAAATTTAACACCATTTACAGGCGTGAGATCTACACATGATGGTGTGTAAAATTTTCCAAAACATGGTAACTTTTCAATTCTCCTAGATCTAAATTACTTCAAGTAACTGCCTTTAGTTATTTTAAACTTCACACATGTAGTGTGTACTCACACGTCTAGTATTATATTATATAAAGCTCACAACTCAATTACGGCACGAATTTTCTCATGCCCAAATTACCTAACTGTCCATTGGCAGTTCCAACTAAGATTGGACATCTCAAACATATGCAATATGAAACCTAAAGAAATAAATGAAAAGCTACCAATGCAAAAGAATACGTAGGGAACAAATATTTGTCATAGATTTCAGCTTTCCGCTTAGGAAATAAAGGATCGAGATTTTTTGATAGATATTTTAGTATGTGTTTTGTGAGAGTTGAGGAGTAAAGACATGTTATTGGTGATGTATCATTAATTTGTGAGGAGAATTTACTATGCTTAAGCAACAAAAATATTTCTTACAATATATTTGTATAAAATACATTAATGCTCCTCAAGTTTCTTTTAGCCTTAGACTCTTCTATGTGCACCCACTCTCACTTCCTACAACTAAGAGCTAAATCACAAGCATAACTACCGTTATCCCAAAAGCAAACTTCTTGTCTTCAAACCTCCAAAAATAACTAAAGTCCATTTTCTCAGATGTGTTGATGTCATGACATTTTCAATCATTCATTGTTTATTCAACAGTAAACAAGGCCAAATTGGAGTAATAGGATCTTAAGATCCTACAATTTAGATCAGGATTCTAATAATCATCGATAAAATATGTTTCCATCAAGAAAGAATCATAGTATATAATCGATATATATATATATATATATATTAACTGTACATAAATTGCTATTCATTTTAATAATTTCTATACTCGCTTGTAATATCAGCAGACAATGAACAGCGTACCGAGTTGTGGTGGACTAACAGACAACATTCTATGGCCTGAACATGTCACTTCAAATCAATCCTGCATCTCGGCAACAATTGAATCCCAGTCATCAATATGTGGTACGATAAAACTTATGTGAATAGGATACATTTGTGTGTGCGTGAGTGCATGCATATTAGGAATCAATCAACTATAACAAATAACTTACATCTCACATGTACTCCTTTTTTATAAATAAAAATAAATGAATTCATTGTGAAGTTGCTTGAAAAAGTGTTCAAATGTAGTTTTTTTAAGATATAATCCACTGTATTTTATTCAATTACTTTTCTATTGTTTAACTTGTGGATGCACCTGTAATTGGTCAGTTAGCAGTCCAGATTCAGCTACTAAACCGAAAGGCATTGATAACCAAACAACAGGAGCTACAAGTGGTTCCTCACGCGAGCAATCAGATGATGATGACATCGAGACAGAAGCTGGTCAATGTGAACAGAGCACTGATCCTCTCAATTTAAAACGCGCCAAAAGGTATAGATCAATGTCTATGAATCAAATTACAGACATGGGTTAGATCTTGACCAAGCCTATATGGCATTGTTGCCGTGGTTTCAGAATGGTTTCGAACAGAGAGTCAGCTAGGCGCTCAAGGAGAAGAAAACAAGAACATCTGGCAGACCTTGAGAAGCAGGTAACTAGTTTTCCATTTTATGTGTTATTTGATTGGTTGTCTGAAGGATGGTGGACCTAAGAGGCAAAATTGAAATTAGTCTTACCATTTATTTGGTTTCAGAAGCTTTCTATAAGATTTATATTTTTCTTGTTTCTTCATGCTACTGCAAATATATAGAAATTAATAATTTTAGCATAAAACAACCATGCATAAATGTTGAGTTGTTTCGGTTTTCTTTTGGAAGGTTGATTTATGGCTTTTCTCTCAGGTTGAACAACTGCAAGGAGAAAATTCAAATCTGTTCAAGCAATTTACAGGTGCTTCTCAACAATTTAAAGATGCTAACACTAATAATCGAGTGCTTAAGTCAGATGTAGAAGCTTTGAGAGCCAAGGTATCATGGTTAATCTACATAATTAAACCCTTGAAACATCACTACAACATATTCTGTTTTCATAAATGCAAAAACCAAAAGATATTTAAGCTGAAATCCTTGTGCCATAAGATCCCATGGTGGTTGCTTTCATAATCTACATCACTGCTGCTGTTATTGTAGGAGACATTATTGAAAATTACATTAAAGAAGCACAAGAAATTATATGATATTACAAATGTTTTCAAAAGTCGTTATTTTCACTGCACTTAACATTGCAAATCTTTACATCCAACTACTATTAAGGTGGGTGAAACGTATTGTGACTTTAGGTGAAGCTGGCTGAAGATATGGTCACTAGAGGCTCGTTGACAATGTCTACTTTAAGTCATCTCCTTCAAAATCATTTAAGCACTCCCCAACAACCTTTTACTACTGACAACATGTGTCGACTGGGCAATAATATCTCACCAACAATCGCTGTACATGAAGATGATGTCTCATATCCTGGAATAACAGTTTCTGGGCAAAATTCAACTCTTGGACTTGAAAATCCTAACACCTTCAATGGTGGTGCCAATAATGATTTTATAAGCGATACTGTCAGCTGTGTGGCCGAGGATTGGTCTTGGAAATCTCATGCACCTACAATTTCCAAATAGAGCTGAAGTTTTGCTATTTCTAGACTGTGGCCTTAGTTTCTCTAGAGCTGCTTTTCTTTCTTTTTTTGTGTGTGTTTTTGAACTCTCTCTCCCCTCCTGTTCATGGTTTTAAATAATGGTACTGGAATACGGATTGGTATCAGCGATATGGTTATATATTGATTGACATCAGATAGTATCAGCCGATAGATCAATATCAAAAGTCTAAAATCCTGATACGTAATAGCCAATACAATATGTAACGGCTGATGTTTAAAGCCTTGCTCCTGTTGTTTGTTTATTTGGGATTGTGGCTTGCAAGAGACCTATTGTTTCAGTTGTATCTTGCACTATAATTGTTAGTGTACAATATTCTTGTTTCACAACACAAAAGTCTTCTTCACACGCTATTAATGTTTTCAGAGAGGAAGACATATATTGAATATGTGGATGTATGTTTAACATTAGATACCATTTTGACAAATGTACGGGGTGAAAACCAAATTTAGATGGGGTAGTGGATAGAATAAGACTATGTGAGGAAAACTGAGGAGAGAAGAGGAAAATTTCGTTTTGTTTGGGTTGGAAATAGAAGATCACTAACCACAGAGCTATGAAGCACGGATACTTCAAATAGGATGACGTATCCGTATCGTATCCGTATTGGATACCGATACTCCTTAGATACTCGCGGATACGTATCGGATACTTCTTAATTATTTTTTCATTAATTTTGGAGTATCGGATACTTAATTTTAAAGTATCGGACACTCCGAGTCATGTTTACTTGTTTTATAAAATTAGAATTGTAACATTTCTTACATAGTAATATAATATAATATAATATAATATAATTGCAAGTATAAATAAAAGAATATTTTTCTAATATTTTGTTAAGTTCTTTGATAAGAAGAGCATAGTAAGTTAAATAATAGAATTTATCAAATTGATGTATCCTAATTATTTCATGCATGTCCCCTATAACTAGATAGAAAGTAAGAATTAACAAAAGAATATAACAATGGTAAAATTAAATATCAGTAAATAAATAAACAAGTAAATTTGAATACAATATTTTTTTACTAGTCAAAGGAAAAAACATAAGGATAAGTTGTGAATTGTTCTATTATTGTAATATAAATATATTAAACTTGATGTTGAAATGAAATATTTGCAAGACCTATTAAAAATTTTAAAAGTAAACAAGATACTAGCTTAAATTAATACAAAATTCTTAAATGTTAGTATTTTGCGTTATAAAACTACATTGTGGTTTCTCAACGTTCTTTAGCTTATATGTAACTCACTATTAATAATTTTAAAAAATATATTTTTCGCAAACGTATCCTAGCCGTACCGGTATCCTATTTTTTTAGGTTTTGTCGGACCGCCGTATCCATATCGTGTCGTATCCGTATCTATGCTTCCTAGCCACAGAGTTACTACACAGAGAAGAAGAGGATGCAAATGCTGAAAGCATGAAAGGACAAAGGTTGAAAGGCTAGTGGTAAGGGATCCAATAATTATTCCATAAAGAAATCTCATTCCCCTGTCCGACCTGCTAACAAAGATCTAATTTTATAACATTTCTGCCATAGAGGATGCTTAGCTAGCACCAAGGTAGAAACTGGCGAAAACGTCCTACATTTGAAAATTGTGTTGGACTAACTCTGTATTTGAACAAAAATTCAAGCAGGGGTCAACAACTTTCTGCAAGTCACACATAATTATTGGTGATAGACTTTCAAACATGTCACTAATACTGTCTTTGTTATGAAGGAAAAGTAGAACTGTAGGAACTCTTCTATTAGAACTATTGGGTCAATCCATCCATGGACACCAGATATAGGTTCAAACCCAATCCAAAAACTAAAAGGAGGGGAGGGAGAAATATGGCTGTGAAAGACTGGAAGCCATCTACATGGTCTAAAAGTCAAATTAATGTCGTACATACTAAGAAGAAAAGAGTACACAACATACCAAAAATAGATTTTTGGCTGAGGGAGAAAACAAAAATTGAAGAGTAACATGTAGATATAGAGAAAGCAGCATTACCTGTATATGATTGTGACCATGAGAAATATCTCTAGTGATGGTATTTTTGTCCTCTAAGAATAGTCCATGCCCTATAAATGAAACCAAAAAGCATCCATTATTCAAGTTATTTAACATAGAACAAAATATCCAAGTAGAAACCTTTGTTGTTCCATGCTTTTAATGTATGCATGGGCTTCATTTCATGTCTTCTTTTTTTTCAGTATTCTTTTCAATAAACAAAATAATAATAATAATAATAAATTACGCCAAAACTCATAAAAGAAATCTTCAATAATAAAAACAGATATTAAGTACAACCTAAAGTGAAATTGTAAATCAGAATATAATCACCTATATAGTTGCTCCATGAGTACAACCAATGCAATCTGATGATTTAAGACCAAAGATGACAACTTGATTGATAAGTTAGCCCGTTGTCGCAATTGTCTCCCATGACCATAAGATCCGCCAATGCAAAATAATAAGCTTGAAGCTCCCTGTCAATATAGAAAAGATAAAACTCTGTCAACTGGTTCAAAGAAAAAGGAAAAAACCGGATGACTATAACTATCCACTAAAATGTCTACTTCAGACTCTTTATTCTTACTTCTTAATTTGATTCTTGATTTCAGATGCTTTGGATGCTTAATTCGAGATACTCCATTCCAATTGATGCAGTGCATAAGAGGAGCAAAAAAAGGTAAATTCAACAAAGATGCTGAAGTCAGTTATTAGCATAATTTCAAAGTGTGACCTATAGGAACCAAACCAGGCATAGTCAAGTTTCTAATCATAGTAGTCTTAAATTTAGTCTAAATAAGATGCTCATCAATTTTTAATATATTTTTCAACCTTTATAGACCGGGGTATTTTGGTAATTTTCAGAATTTCATAGCATAGGGCTGTAGGGGTCAAACCATGGGTCATTGTATGTGAAGCTAGAGTTCTTAGTTCCCAAATAGCAAAATTGTAGGTATTAAATAGGTTTGATGCCTGTGGAATTCTAGGTGTGATCTTTTTCTACATTATTAATTCTTGCATCTTTACATCAAATCATGCATCTTATTATCGTCCTACCACATCAACACCATTGAGGGAATGCAGGATAATGATCATCTTACTCATCCAACATACTACTGCAGCAATGATTTTATTTTATTTTTGATAAATAACCAAACTTTATCGAGAAAGCATCAAGATAATGCAAAGAATACAAAAGCAGCCTCAAAAGCCCGACCAAACTAACAAATCAAATCCTCCACAAAATCTACAAAAGCCAACACATCCGGATCTACTAAACCTGTCACCCAACTATACAAAACTATAAGAATCCGCCTCTCTAACCAAGGAATGGAGTGAGCCACCCCTTGACACACCTGCCTATTACGCTCCAACCAAATCAACCACATTAAATAGTGTGAAGCAAGCAGCCAAGCCTTTCGACGCCTCCTCCCAACCCTCCCCCCTACCCAACTTTGTACAACTGCGAACACAAAACCCGGCTGAACCCAAACTAAACCAAAAACTGCAACCACAAGCATCCAAAGACAAAAAGAGACCGGATAATGAATAGGCAAATGGTCAACCGACTCAGCTGCCCTACCTCACATACAACACAAATTCACCAAAATATGCCCATGATGAATCAAATTATCAATAGTTAAGATACGCCCCAAGCTCACTGTCCAAACAAAAAAGGCAACCTTGGACGGCGAGCCCGGCACCCAAACACCTTTCCACGGATAAACCATACATCGTGAGCATACACATCCTGAACAAGCACCCCATAGAATGAAGATACAGTAAAAATACCTTTGGATCTAGGACAATCCCATACCAAGAAATCCTGACTTGCCCTCCCAAGATGCAAACCATATAAAAGACCTAGAAGTTCCACCAACTGATCTTGCTTCCAATCCTAGACAGTGTGACGCAACTGCACATTCCACACCATTGATTGCCCTTCCCCATCAATGATTTAGCAGTCTTATTTTCTTCTAGGGTTTTGTTTACTTGGGTTGGCTTTTAAATGACAATCAAGATTAGTTTGATTGAAGACATTTCTTTATTGGGATTTTCAAGTCTATGAAAGAGAGTAGTGTCATCACTTATGAAGCTAGTTAATATTTAATCTACATCTTGCAACTTTAAAGCATCATTCAAGATATTGTGATTGGATTTTATTTTTTTCCACCTCTTTTTTCATCTTCTACCTATTCTTCATATTATTCTACTCTTGCTCTTTTAGTTTCTTTGCAGTAGAAATGGTTGGCTGTTTCCAGCTTCGAACTAAAGTAGGCACTTGAAACCCAGCATCTTCCCAAAAGTCTCTTGTATTAGATGGGCATGATTCTTTCCAATCTAACAAGTTCTTGACCAAAAACAATCAAAAGAGAAAAGGTAATTGGCAAGAATGCATATAGCGATCCCGGTTTCTAACTCGACTTTTATAGTGTTTCGGACTCGGGTCTTGTGGTTTAATGTTGTTGTTTATGTCTTTTCCTCTTGTTACCCTTTGAATTTGAGTTTTGAAATGTCCTAGGGGTGTTCAGAACAGGGCGGTTGGTTGTTGGTTTAGAACCTTATTGCCTAGAATTTTGGTCTTCCGCTTGAGCGGATTTGCAATCTTTCAGTACTTTGTGCGTCTGTAAAAATGCTGCGGAAGTGTTTTTCACGCTCGAGCATTGTTTCTTACGCTCGAGCGGGTTTGAGCTCCAGCAGCCCCTTTGGCGCTCGAGCAACTGTCTGAAATCTGTAAAATACTGGGCGAGTGTATTCTACGCTCGAGCGGGTCTTGTTGCGCTCGAGCGGGTAGTGCCTTACTGTTGTGTTTTGGCGCTCGAGCGGCCTTTATTGCGCTTGAGCGGGTCGAATTTATATGTCTGACGCTCAAGCGTTAAACTCTCCACTCGAGCGGACTGTGCATATATCAGATTGCGAAAGTGACTTTTTAAATCACTTTTTTTGTCTTTTCTCTCTCTAAAACTTTCTAAAACTCTAAGTTGAGAGCTTCCCTCTCTAAAATACTCTCTCTCTCTACATTTTAACCTAGATCTAGTGATCTCCTCACCCTCATTCCTTTGATAAAAAGATTGAGCTCTTCAAGATCTCCATTTTCATCTGAGTGGAAGTTGATTTCGTCATCTTTGGAGTTCATCTCTTGCTTAGCTCATCTTCTCTTCTTGAGGTAGGGATAATCTACTCATTACTATGAGCTTTAACATAAATATTGGTCATTTTTGTATAAATGGTTGGCTTGGGTGAAGTTAGGGTTTTGAGTTTGAAATAATAAAAGAGAGGTTTCCGATTTTTGGGTTCTATATGTATGTAAGATCTTGAAAATGGGGTTGTTTGTGTATAATGGGGAAAATTTGGCCTTAGGTGCAATGTTTGAGAAAAGGAAGAGAATGCCCTAATTTGCATTATATAAATTATTTGTTTAAATAGTGAAATCATTGTGGAAATATGAAATTGGTTGGGGAATTATGAAATTTGGGGAAATTGTGATTAAATGGTGTAGTTGGATTGATAAATCATTCACCTATGGAAAAATTAATAATTTTATCTGTTTGATAGATTTATTTATCCGTTTAGAGATAACTGTTTTGGACTATCGGTGAAGGATAGTCATGATTGTTGTAGAAACTGCATGATGATTAGGTAAATTAAAACTAATTAATTGGATTATGTCATTGAATATGACGGTTGGATTAACATACTGAATATGTGATTTAATTGGTCATTGTATATGACAACATGTTTAAATATATTGCATATGTATCTTTGTTTAAGAGGAGAAAGGGGATGTATTCCATTATTTGGGAGGAGATAGGGGATGGACTCCATTGATAATTAAGTTGGCCAGAGTGTCTAGGATGAAAGTCCCAAAATCTTATATACATCTGAATGATGTTGATGATTGAAGTGTTGTTGATACGAGTTGTACTCTCATTTTGAATTGATTGGATAAAAATGAACCATGTTAATGAATTGATTTAGATAAATAAATGGAAGTAGATTGAAATATGGATGTCAATGTTGATTGGTTATGGAAAGAGTGTAACTTGGTTTTCAAATGTTAAACATTTATCGGATGCTAATGTTTTAGTTAATTCTCATATAATGTTTAGCATATCTCTACTGGGCATTGGCTCACCCTACTTAGGACACATTTTTCAAGTACAGGTGGTATGCCGCCTCCAAGATCTTAGCTTAGGAGGTTTTGGAGTTGAAGACTCCCTTTTGTTATTCAAGCCTAGGGCTTTCTATGTATAGAGTTAGGACTATTTTGTTGTAACCAAGTGATGACATGGACAAACTATAAGCCCGTAGGGCATCCATTTTATTGCTAACATGTAATATCTTTTGTAAAGAATACTTTGATGAATATAATATGTAACATTTCTATTATGTTTTATAGATTTTATGAATGGATGAGTATATCTTATTTTGAGGGCATTACAATGCATCTTTTCAGAGAGACTTTTGGATTTAAGAAGTAGATCATACTGTGTTCCCTGCATCCCCAATCAACTCAGCCATCTGCTCAGACTCAATGTCTAGTCCATGCTCATCCAGCATCACAACCTACACATAGGATTATATGACATAGAAATAAGAATATGCATTGATTTATCTACACACACAACCCAAAAAAAAACAACAACAACAACAACAACAACAACAACAAAATAAGAATACACATTGAAGCTCCAAATGGTGCCATGTTGTAATAGAGATTGCCCTTCACTTTCCCAAGAAAATGGAATTGTATATTTAGCTTGTTGAAGGTTCAAATTGATCTCTTGTGATGGAGTTCATAAGGAAAATACAAAACCCTTATTAAATATTGCTAACCTAAGAAGCATGGGCATGGACATGGACATGGACATGGACACGCTGACATGACAATTTTTAAAAAATGTAGGACACAACACGTGGGGGACAAGTAACAAAATATATAAAAACAACGTCCAAATAGTAAACATTAATGTATATTTGGAAGGAAAAAGATTGGGTGCACACCTAACTTTTAACATAGTACACAAAGTGGTTGTCCCAAGACTTTAACACATAACCTCAAGGTTATTAGGCCAAAGTTTTACAAAATATATAATTTTATATATTTATTATATGTCATATATATAAATATATCGTTAACAAATAATTAAAAGAATGTAATATAACACTAATTTCTATAAAGTTACATATTGTTTTTCTTTTATTATTGTCTAATAAGTTATTTTGTTCAAACTTATAATTAGTTTCATATGTGCCTAATTGATAGATACATGTGTTTAAGTGATGGACACATGTGTCCTCTAAGTGAACAAAGAGTGTCCAAGTCAATAGAACTACAAGAAACGGAGAAAATTGAACTCTCTAGGTGATTCAATCAAAAAAAAAAAAAAAATTGACATTATACCCAATCGTCAGACCGGATGAGATGCATGACAGCCATGTCTTCATGTTCTACCTGAGCCTTTACATCTCTGCTACACGGGGTAAGAATTAAATAGTAAATCTTTCACTTTGTAGGAAAAAAGTATCCAGAAGAAACTAATCAACAAGTTTGGCAATAATTTCTAATCTGTCTAAACAATACTTTCAGAATTCCACCACAGACAAGAAATCAGAACTATAAGCTGATGAAAAAGCACAACCGAGCATACTTTTTTCTTATAAAAAAAATAATAAAAGAGAAAAAAAAATGAATCTTGATTTGCTGAATTTGGGGTTCCAATTTGAGCAGTGAAGTTGTAGAAATGCAAATCGTCCACCCAAACTTGAAAGGTATAGATCATGCCAACTTGAAAAATAACTACCTACTATATATCTTCCTTTGTTTTTCTCGTGAGAAAATGAACCACTACCCCTTTTTTTTATCCAGACAGATTCCATTATTCGACAAACAACTGGGATTTCTCCAACATCAGTGCCGAAGTTAGAACCCCAAGTTCAGATAATCCAAATTAAAAAATTGTATACATTGATACATTACAATTACTAATACTATATAAAGCAATCAGGAGATATATGTATATAGATATGACATCTTGTTGAAAGAGATGTCAGCTATATATTAGTCATGAGATATGAGCAAAGCTGAATCAGACGGCGACGCACCGGGAATTCTTAGGATTGGACCGGATACGGACATCTTCAATGCGGCAGTAGCATTTGAGTTTCTCAATGTAATCATCAACTATTAGTTGTACCCCCTGTGACCTTGTTCTTCCCACCGTTAATATCTTTATGGGTAGTGCTCTCTGTCCCCTCATTAAAAACTAACTAAATTCAGTACCTACACACATATACGTAGTCCAAACTTGTGTGTATTATGTGTTACTCTTCAATTCACAATTGGGTTTAAAAAAGTTCATCAATAGGGTAATTGGGTAGGATTCAACAAAGTAGAATGAAAGATAATTGTATTAAAAAAACAATGTAAAGAGTGAGATGTGGAGATAGTTTTACCACTGATTGACCCGTGTATTTGCATTGTCTACCTGAAAAATTCAATCAAATTTTGCAATTGCAGAAATTAAACCAAGTAATAGCAAAGTTAGAATAATAGGGATGAATGAAAACCTTGAATACGAGTTGAATGATCTGCGTTGAGAGTCGCAGAGAGTGAGACCGCCATATCCACAGCATAGAGCGAGAGAGCGAGAGAGAGAGAGAGAAATCTTTCGCATGTATTTTACCTATAATTTCACTTTGCCTCTCATTCTTTAATTGTACTAGCTGTTGTCACTCATGATCATGATGTGCCTATAATTTAAATAAATATAAATAAAATAAAATGTTTATTATATGTTATTGGTGATTAAAGTGGTAAAAAGCTTTCTTTGGTAAATAAAATATTTAACATTTCATTTATCTATTTTTTTTTTATTATTATTTGGAATGAAGAAATGGATACTTGGCTTTAAGGAAAAAGAAGTTTCAATTCTTAACACCAATTGAGACTATGACAATTAAAAGGTTAAGAACAAAATGAAAATAGGTATAACATACAAAAGTGAGGTTTGTCTAAGTAGATTAGGAAGACAGAAAGATCGATGGTAAACTAAAGAGCAAAATAGTAATTCTAACCATATTTTTGGAATTATTTTTTTCATGTTTTCATATATACTCCAATTACTTTTAATTCCCACAATTTTTGGAATTGCTTAATTTTCCCTTCATTTTTTGATTTTCCAAATACATTTATGTTTATTTTTATTAAAATAAAATTTTAAAAACATGTTGGACACACATACTTTCAAAAAAACATCTTTAAGACACATACTTTCAAAACCAGCAAAAGCAAGCATCACAACTATCTTCCCTCTTGCAACTTTGAGGATGTCTTTGAATATTAAATTTATGACATTTTTTTTTTTTTTTTGAGGAATAAATTTTGAGAAATTAAGTAAAATTTCCTCCATTGAACCTTTAATTGGTGAAAAGAATAATCCAATTTATTTTTCTTCATAAATCTCTTAAAAAGGGACGCATAATTGAGTAAGAATAAAGTAAAATATCTTTTTTTTTTCTTAGACAATATTGTCAGAGTAACATGTTAGTGTCAACCAGAATAACATCTTGTTGTGAAACATATTACTGTCAAATAGAGTAATATGTTACTATTTACATTAATTTTTACATAATATTTTTTTTTTAAAAGAATTTCATAGTTAACATGAATCTTGCTTGATAGATCTTGATGTCAGAATTCTAAAAATACTAATTTTATTAAAATCCGACATCTAGTTTAAAAGTTATATTATTTTAAAATTTAATATTTTGATAATAAACCTATATATATTTTAAAAAAAACTTTTTGTACTTGTCTTTAATGCATTAAAATTTTATTATAATGAAATTCTAACCAAATCTCTCATAAATTTATGACATTATTCGCATAGAAAAAATACAAATAAAAAGTGAATAAAAAATAAATTAAAATTTTCACATTTTTCTTTTTTGTATCTTTACGTACACAAATGATCCAACGTCCAAAAGCATTTTTGGTTCTCTTCCCTTGCTTAGAGTCTCTACAATTCCACTCGGTTTACAAGCATACCATTACCATCATCAAGGACATGGGTTTTCCCTCGTCACCTTTGGCATTTGCACATTGTAGTTTCTAACAGGTCACCATATTTTCTGGTCAGAAAAGCAGAGCAGAAAATACACATTCCGTCACTGAAAAATAATGGATCGACACTCTAACAAATCCATGGCATTTAACATCAATTTTCTAGAATCTTGGTTAGCACGGTAACAAGTAAATACAAATTTGTTTACAGATATATGCAGGCACTTAGACACACAGAGATGTCCAAACCAAGAAATCAATAAATTATAGGCACATTACAAATAATATTTCAAGTAAACAACGCCAAAGACTGATTTCAACTGTCTAAAGGATTTGAAGCAAAAAAGAAGTATCCCAAGCACAAAAAAAACAAAGCCCTCATAATACATGAATTTCCAAACTACCCAGCATTAACTTAGTTATGGACAGAGACTTCAAGCGTCTTTTACTTTGAACCTTTATAAAATCAAGTGAAGAGCTCCAGGAACAACAGCCATAACAACAACAACCAAAAAAAAAATCCTAGTTTGTCCATAGAGACCAAACTTCAGAGCTCCACAAAACATCCAGGCAAATAACGCTCATACATACCTGCAGGGAATGATAAAGACATGGAATAGACTGAATTAATAATTATGTTTTCATAGCAGTATATATAACCAATAACAGCAGTGCAGGTCTACGCCGGTGTGAAATCATTACAGCACTAGCCTGTATGGGAAGCAAAAATGGTTGCATATCATAGATCATGAATCAAAGCATTATATATCTATGCATACCCAACTGTTCTGTAATTCCCTTCCACCCCAAGAAAAATTGATAGAAGTAGCTACAATACATCAGTTTTATCTAAATCAATAGAGACCTTGAAGGCTCATATCGTCAAAGGCTCACAACATGTAAATTCAATCACATTAATAAAGAACCAATCATTAAAAAAATAATAATAAGTATCAATGCATTAATGAATTGAATTGCAAATATGACAGAAAATTATTGAATCTTGAACGTTTTCCCTGCTGCTTGAAATATCTTACGAAGTAATTTCGTGGCAGAAAACACTACGTGAACATATTATATTAAGCATTTGCTGTTTATTTACAGCAATCTATCATATGGCACGGAGTCATGAGCTGCAAGTATGACTTTGGAGTCCTGCTAGCTACCTTTGAGTTGCCATAGGTGGGTTTGGCATGAGGGCTGACCCATTGGGTGGCATTCACTGTTTACTCTTTTTTCATAACACAACCATAGCACCAAGAGATATCCCTACTTCTATTCGCTAATCATTTTAAAAAAAGCTTCTCATGGCAATGATTGTGAACAAGTACCAATCACATAACTACAAAAAAAAAAAAATTGGTTGACATTAAAGTAAAGGGTTTTTACCCACTTTCATCAGCAATGCTGATCATCATCAGTAGTGTTTTTTTTTTTTTTTTAGTTGCCTTTTTTGGCTTTTTTTCACTTCGGCTTACTTTCATCTTTAATGAACTTTTTTTAAAATTATGTAATTTCTTTACTTTTTAGATCCATCTTGACTAGATGATCCTAAGAATTTTAAAATATTAAATTTCTTTTTTAAAGTTAAGAAAATACAAAAATAAGACAGTTTTTGTAAAGCATTTTGATAAAATGTGACTTATATTCATCTTTCGTGAAATTTTTTTCAAATTTAACTCAATTTTAAAAATTTTAGAATCGTATAGTCAAGACAGAGCCAAAAGTAATTTTTTTTGACTCATTAAAAAAATGATAAATTATCAATAGGTCATAATAGTTAGACTTAATTTCTATCAAGTACTATTGAAAATAAGTCATAATAAAATCGTCGCTAAAAATAATTCTTTGTAACGGTTTTTTTGCATATGTCACTAAAAATTGATAATTAGTAACTTTTTTTGTTACGATTTTTATAAATTGATGCTAAAACTTACAAATAGTGACGTTTTTCGGTGACGAATTTTTCAAGTTGTAGATGAAAGTTGAAAATTAGTCACTTTTTTGTGACAATTTTTTTTTTTTTATAAATAAATTGACAACTTCATTAGAAAAGCATCAAGACGATGCAAAGAATTCAAAAACAACCCACAAAGGGCCAAACAAAACTATCTAATCAAATCCTCCACAAAATCTACAAAAAACAAAACATTTGGATCAATTTGTCGCTAAAACTTATAATTAGGGACATTTTTTGTGACAATTTTTAAATCGTCACTGAAAATTAACAATTAATTATATTTTTTAATAGTGTTGGATGAAAAACGTAATTAATTATGGTGGGACCTATTGGACAATAAGTCCGCCTATTATAACTTACATGTAAGTCCCCCTTAAAAAAATTGAGTCAAATTTTAAAGGGAAAAAAAAATCACTAAAGACTACAATAATAGTCCTGTTTGGTATTTTGATGTGTTTGGTTCAGCTTAACAATACAGCTTATAGTTTTTTGTAAGTCAAAAATCAACTTATTCTTTGAGTGGGAGAGGAGAAGCTTAATTTATAAGTCAAAAATCAACTTATGTTCACAGTTATAAGCTATAAGCTGTTAAGGTATAAGCTATAATCACTTTCCCACAACTCTACCAAACGGGGCCAATAAGTCCCCAAAAAGATATTAAATAAAAGAAGACTTTTCAGTATTAGCCAAATGTTAACCTGCTTCCAGGGTTGGCACTTGATCAGGTAAATCCAATTGCAGGAGTTGTTTTCTTTAAATCCACAGATAATAATAAAGGTAAGTGTACGCTTACTTTCAGAAACTCGTATTAAAATCAGTCATATGCCAGCACCTAAATTGCTTTATGTGCTGAGATTATGATTGGCCATAGCCCTTTCCTTCTATTCTCTTCCTAAAACCTCTCTATTTTGTAAAGATTCTACTGTTATTTCTGAATATTCTCTTACAAAAAATAACCAAAGGGATAATTAGATTCAATTTTCTGGATTGCTAAGCTCAATGTCCTGGAAAGGAAGTGTTCTATGTTTCAGAGAGTATGTCTTAGGCTGCACATAATACCAAATGACCTAGTGTAACCGACTGGCCCGATCTGAACCGCCCAATTTTGGACGATTTCAGAGTGTAACTGCAATTGAATCGGTTTCCTTATTCATCAGCCAACCAATGATTGATTATGCAATGATTTGCATAGTTTTTAAACCAACGAGCAACTCACGTTATATATATATATTATACAAAAATAAATGTCAGGTTCTAGCGCATCTCTTCTCTCTCTCTCTCTCTCTCTCTCTCATTCAAACAATCTAGAGAAGAGTTTCACTCATGTTCATCTCTCTCATCTCCAGCCTCTTACTCTCGATCTATCTCCCGATCCTTCTCCTTCCCTCTTCAGACTTCCAATTCGTAGAATGGCATCAGAAACCCCAGGATCCGAAAGAGCCGGCTGTGTTGCTGCAAAATGACGAAGCGTTGCAGCCAGATTTGAAGTACTGCATCAGAAAACCTACCTCAGCTGCAATATGGCGCAATGACGATGAACGTTACTGGAAGATTTGATCTATGTGCAGTGCAAGTCTCTTCTCCTTCAACTGGGATTTGGTATTTTTGTTTTTGAAGTATTTTTGTAGATCCAATGGATACGTTCTTTCTGTTTTTTTGTGTGGATTGTTTTGTGGGTTTCTCTCATATTCTCTGATCTCCCTCAAACCCTTACCCATGAAACCCCCACTCCCTCTCCTTTCCACTCAACCTTAAAACCCCTCCCCTTTTCAATCTACCAAATCCAACCAATCAAACTGATAATCCGAAGCACCCAAAGACTCTAGTTTTCCTGCCACCTAAGAAGCATGGACACGGACACGTGACACGACACGAGTACGACACGGACACGCTGACACGTTAATTTTCAAAAAATGTAGAACACGACACGTGAGGGACACGCATGAAATATGTAATTTTATATATTTATTATATGTTACATATATGAATATATCATTAAAAAGATAATAAAAAATACAATATGATACTAATTCCTATAAATTTATATAGTTTTTGTTTTATTATTGTATCTTAAGTTGTTTTGTTCAAACTTATAATTAATTTCACATATGTCTAATCGTTAGACACTTGTATTTAAGCGATGGACACGTATGTCCTTCAAGTGTCCAAAGAGTGTCCAAGTCTTTAAAAAAATTTAAAAAATAGGACACGTTTTGAAGAGTGTCGGACACGTGTCCTGAGAGTGTCCAAAGAGTATCGGTGTCCGACACGGATACGACACGAATACGTCACCTTCTTAGAAGTGTCCGTGCTTCTTAGCCTGCCACACTCAGTTGAAATTGGGTGGCCAATGGCCAATCCAACTGTGATCGATTTGAGTGATAGGTTAACCTCAAAACCAACCCAGATCGACCCATGAACCCCCCAGTATGTCACAAAACAAGAATCACGGGGGTATTATTGGGGCTTTGAGATAACAATCTAACATTACCCATTAAAAAACTATGCAACCTTGGCCCTTTTCTATACGAAGGGAATTAACTTCTTGGAAAATGCTTGGGGTTCCAAATAATCTATCAAATTTTTTACCAAACCTTTTACGTGTGGGACTCACACAAACTCACATGTGTGTGGGTTCCACACCCATGTTAGAGGTCTGGTAGAAAATTTGGTAAACCATTTGGTATCCCTGGCATAACTCTAACTTCTTTCCTGGTATCAGATAATTTCAGCATGCAATGATTATAAAGCACATTCCTCAAAATCCCTAAAATGTTAAATGTTCTGTGAGATGCAAAATTTAGCCCTATATTATGACTCTGCATACAAGATACCTGAACATGCCAAAAAAGAGCATCAGTCTATGTGCCACTACTTGTCTGGATGTCCACGCTTAGTCTTGCGTGCATTCTTTGGATTTCCACTTCGGGCAGGTTTCTTCACCTTTTTACTGCATGTTTACGTAGAAGAGAAATGAAATTATAATTCTCTAGTGGCCAAAAACAAAAAAGTTGAAATGTTCTTTTTTTCTTCTTTCAAAAACAAGTATCAAGTTGAAATGTTAGACAGACATCTATTTTCCTTTTTCCTTTGCCCTTACTTTGCGGCAGGAAGACAGCAGAATCTACCTTAACCTCTTCAACACAAACGAAGATAAAACACACATAGTCTGAAAACTAGAAAAAATAAATTGCAGATCAAGTAACTGACCAGAAAATGACTGAACAGATTCTCGGCAGAACAATGATGGGTAGAGCCAACAAAGCAGAGGCCTACAATATATATTTAAGAAAAATTAGACATCTATCAAATGTCAAGTAAACTAGAAATGCATAAGTCAGTTCGGCAACACATACAGCAAACCACACCAACTCTTTAGTTGCAAGAGGTCTTGTAAGCTCATGATTTTGTAGTGTATCTTGCACTTTGTCTTGGACCTTCACAAGTCATAAGAAAGTTAGAGAAATGCATAACATAAACAACAAAGGGCATATTAAGAATTGCACATGAATCACATTACAGTTAGGATATTGTCTAATTAAGCTTTCATTTTATTTGACTCTAGTTATATAAGAATGGCATGTTATAAGAATTTCTTACATTTTCAAAATCCTGAAAAACATTTTAAATAGGATCATCCATAACTAATATACCTTCAATTATTGAAATTCATGTTCAAAAATAGATGTTACCTCTTCTAAGTACTAATAAATGTTTGCTTACAAGTGAGCTCATATAAAAGAAAATAAGTAAATAAGAATTCCAAACTCTATATTATTTTTAGTGCATTTTCTTGTGGGGAATTGATATAATCTATTAAAAATGTATTAGTGTGAGAATATTGTTGACTGTGAAATTAATACTCGATTGGAAACTATGATTCATTTCATAGAATAATTTTGCCAATTTTACATTAAATATATTTGGATCATCTAAAGACACAAGATAGAAAATGGAAAAAGCAGAATAGACAATGCACATTTATGATCTTCTAAATTTTGTAGCAGTGTTTGATATAAATTGCTCCAGCAATGTAGTATGTCCTGCTTCATTTATCAAAAAAAAATGTAGTATGTCCTGCTTCACATAAAGGATATTCCCGTCTGACAATCCTAAATCAATCCTTTAACCATCCTATTACATGATTTTCTAATTTCCAGTGTTCAGCATATTTTTAGCATAGAAACAATCTTGAAACCCATTCTACACAAAGGGATGTCATTGAAAATGCTTTATTCTTATCACCCATCCAATGTTCTTTTTTTTTTGGGTAGGCAAGTCATAAAATAAATACAAAGAATTTACACATTTACAAGGAGCATTCCCCAGGCAATACATCAAAACTAAAACCGCGGGGGAAGATCAATGCAAATCGTATCTAAAAACAACCCCGCATTTGCAGAAAACCAACAAAAGAAGCCATAAACACCGAAATTTGCCCATATATCCTTTGTTTTCCCCAAGTAACCCTTGCCATCAATGATGATAGATGGAAACTTGGGGAAGATATATGTGCAAGTGTACAAAAGGAGCCACATAAACATAATAAACTGATATACGACAAGACACCGTAATAAACAAGCTAAAGCAACCACTAAGACCAATTAGCTCTACTACCCTCCCCCACAAGCTCCCAGTCCCATCATGGATAAAACCTGAAGTCAAATAAGCATCTCGCATCTCACAGCCATGACATCCATAGCCACTCACACAGCCATGATGGAGGAAAAAGTATACCCCATGAACCAGTGTTGTTAAAAGCGCGCCTAGGCGCAAGGCGCATCGAGGCGCAGCCTGTGCGCCTGAACTAGTCACAGGCGACGCGCGTTGAAGAGGTCGCGCGCCTTAGGCGCGACTAGAAGCAGGCGAGAGAGGCGCAAGGTTCGCGCCTAGGCGCGACTAATGTTTACGCCCTAATCTTTGATCTAACGACTGTGGTGTTTGTTCGGAATGGCTCTAACCACAGAGGATTACAACTTATATACACTGCAAACCCCATACGACTGAAACGAAAGCCCTAATCTGTGTCGCCTCTTCGTCTCTCAACTTCGATTCGACTTCGACTTCGACTTCGACTTCAACTTCCAGGTGCGCTACACTCTCTCTCTCTCCCCTTCTGCCTTCTTCGACTAGCTTCTTCAACTTCGATCGTCTCTCTCCCTCCTTCGACTTCGATCGTCTGATCAGTCTTCATTTTATTTATTTTTTTCTCCTTCTTCTTCTCTCTTCTTCGCTAATCAGTCTGCTCTGCTTTGTTTTTTTTTTTTTTCTCAATTATTTATGCCTTTGAGTCTCTGTTAAAAACAAAAAAATAATAATATAAAATAAATACAAATACAAATAAGACTTATATTATTAATTGATTAACTAAAAAAATACACTAAATTGGTCTCTGTTATTAGTCTCTGTTTTTTTACAAAATAAATTTTTTGTAAAAGAAATACAAAATAAATTGGCCTTTATTATTGGTCTCTGTTAAAGAAATACAAAATAATTTTTTTTTTACAAATAATTAATTAACACACTGCTATTGGTCTCTGTTTTTTTACATTACATTATTTTTCTAAATTGACACATTACATTACATTAATTATTTTTTAAATTGACACGTTACATTACATTATTTTCCATTACATTGTATTAATTAAAATTAATTCATATTTTCCAAAATTAGATTCTGATTTTGATTCTTATTTTCCAAAATTCATATTTTCCAAAATTAGATTCTTATTCTAATTAACTAAAATTAATTCATATTTTCCAAAATTAGATTCTGATTATTGTTCTTATTTTCCAAAATTGAAATGTTATGTAATATGCACTTTCATGACTTTGAGAATTATTCTATATTTTGTCTTGAATCTTGATTACTTTTTATTTTTAAAAAAATTGTCTTAGTACTATGAATGATTAGTCTATGTTAATTTTTCTATTTTTTACTAAGACTGTGCGCCTTACTTCAATAAAGCCCGCGCCTCGCCTTGCGCCTTTGCGCCTATGCCCCGAGAGACCTTCAGCGCCTTAGTGCGCCTTGAGCCTTTAAAAACACTGCCATGAACGATCCTGATAGTGTCACATGAAGCTCGCACGGTAGATACCATGATTAAAAGTCTCAGGAAGAAGAGCAAAAGCAAAACCACCGCATCAACAATCACAATCAAAGCCAATCCCACCATGCAATCAATACCACATCCCCCAGTCCCTTCCATCACAGATCACAAAATCTCAATCGCCACGGTAGTGTCTCCCTCACTCCATGTCGGAAGTGGCTTAAAGACGAAATCAGGATGAGTCACAAGAAGACAAGAGGCAACCAAAAAACTAGTATATTCTTATCTCTCAATCTCTAACTCGGTCAACCATCAAACCACAATTCTCCATAGTAGTGATCCCTAAATCACTCTTGGCGAAGATAGCTCAAGAACAACCTCATACTGAGTCACATGAGGATCACATAATCAATGATCATGAATAAACCGGTTATAGACAGTATGCCATTGCGTAATGGCTCAATCAAAATGTGGGGCCAAAAATTGCCCACTTGCCATAACCAAAATCACGTCAAAACCCACGGATACTTTCCCAAATTGAATTTCCCTCCAAGAAACACTCGCGGGTCAAACCCATTGCACCATAATCCAAACTTGAATATCCCACCCAGTCCCCACGAAGAAATCCCTCCAACCACTTCCCCACGTTATAGCCCAGCAAAATAGCATAGAGAAGGAACCAACACATTTGGAGCATATTGCACTACACTCAATAACATATATAATATACATATTATATATATTTATAATAAGAGACAAACTTAGCTTTATATCACCCCAACACACTACCAGCCTGAATGACTGTTCATAGTAGTCAGCCACCCCGACCCATGTGCTCTTGGAATGATGAGAAGCAAACCAGTAGTGCCTACACGCACCAACGGTGCGTCACCAAAACTCCATCGTCTTCCTTGAGTTAACTCCATAACCAGCCATAACCGAAGCTGCAAACCGTCGACAAACAAAAGAACTCCAGCCATGGCTAAACTAGAATGGTCCAGTACCGAGACTGCTACTTAACACCACACCCTTATCGATGAGGCTACAAACCATCCAATGTTCTTATTCTTATAAAATCATAATTTCTACTTTTTCATAAATCCAGCCAATTTTTTTTTTAAAAAAAAAAAATAGCGTTAGGGAGAGCCTAGCCATTACTGCCCTCTTTCCCACACAAGGAGGGTTGGTTTAGTTTCTTTCTTATGCACTCAACCATACCCTGGCTACGTGTCGGGTGTGGATATGTATCTAGGGGTTGGACTCGGCAAACCTCTAAATGAGGGATACGCAGGTACGTCTAAAAAGTATCCAAAAATTAGACGCAAGTACATGGATACAACTAGACATGGATGTACCAAAAAAATGTTAAGTATGTTTTTTATAAAGTTACAATAATTTAATGCTCTGAATGATTATTGTAATTTAATGCTATGCTGAGAAGATACAAGAGGGTGTGGGTCGAGTGTAGGACAATGGTTTATGGATTCTCACCATTGCCATCGCCGGTCGAATCCCACCATCGCCATCGCCGGTCGAATCCCACCATCGCCATCACCGGTTAACTCTCACCATCTTGTATCTTGTAAGTAACTCAACAATCCTTCATTGTCTCTCATCCCAGCCGTATCCATTTGTATTTAGCCTTATTCTGCACCCGTGTCCGTGTCCGTGTCGTGTCGTGTCGACACAAGTATCTCTCCAAAAACAAAGAGTCCGTGTAACGCAGTCCCTTGGTCAAGCTCTAGACTAAGCTCGCACTCAGCTAGCATCAAATGTTTGGACATAGTTTTCATGCCCGAAACCCTCGCGATTGATTGTAAGAAAGAGCGAAAGAGATAAATGTTCCCTCCCTATCATGGCAACAGGAAACTAATGATAATGTTATTACAGGCTGTTGTGGAGAATAGTTTTATTATTGAAGGGCCACCTTCACGACAACTATTAGATCTGTACAGGTAAGCAAAGAAGCTAATCCAAGCATGTCAATACTAGCACTCTTCCTTTTATGGTAAGGCCACAAGGCATACTAGCTGAAACTCGAAAGTTACCCACAAGGTAGACTTGAGGAATTTAGTAACATTTAATAATACAAATTCTTGTTAAGCAAGGTCATCCGGAAGGGAGTTCAAAAAATTCTTGAAAAGGTGGCTGATGTAAGCTTTCTTTTTCTTTTCTTTTTTGAACTGGCTGATGTAAGCTAAACCAGGTAAAAATGTCACTAAAACTTCTACTCATAAAAAAATAAATAGAAAACTAAAACTTCTGGATTATTTTTTATGCGTTTAACAGTTTCAGAGTAACTAGTCAACATGGTAAATAATGTGCAGGGTAAGATGGATGAGTTCTGCCATTTGGGCAATAAAGTTCATGGCCCCTTCTCTCACCAAATCTCCCAATCAAAGATAGAGCAGCATCCGAAAGGCAGTGCAAACGGAAAACTCACATAAAAGCAAATAAAGTAGATTCAACAATAGAGTAAGAAATGATAGCAAATATCATGCCTGCTGATGATAGACAGTGGCAGATTCAAGAAACTTCCCATACGCAAGAACTATCTCCTTTGTATACGGCTTGATAGCAACCCGTACTTTATCAACATGGGGCTTTGTCACAGTGGCAACATGATCAATGTACGGCTTGCCAACTTTCTTAACTTCCTGCGACCATATTAATTACACTCAAGGAGCATAATGATGCACCTCAATAAAGTAGGTAAGCAATAAGGATGAACCAGCTAGTATTAAAAGACATACCTGATAGTAAGGATCCACAATTTCTTGTACTTTGATAATATGTGGAGTTATAGCACTTTTAGATGTCTTATAAACTTCAGTAGCTTTTGTGGTTAGTGATTGCACATGTGGTTCAACAGATGTTGTTATCATCACCCACTGTTCTTGTACAGCTGGGATCCATTTCTTCACATTGCAGGACAAATTTAAGAACAAAAAATAATATTCAATTTAGTAAGAGACTAATCTAGGAAATGCCAAATTCAAAACCCAACCAACCAATGGGCAAGATTGAGCACAAACTCAGTAAATATGTAATGACTTACAATTTTAATTGTTTCCACGTGGGGTTCAGCCCACTTTGCAGCCTGGGCTTTTTTCTCCAGTGCCTGAAACAGTTCAACAAGTAATTTCATTTTATTAAAGAATTCTGAAAGATGTAACAGGCATGTTCTACAATTACATGAACACCTATAAATAAATATATAATTGCCAGCAGCTACTATGTAAGACATGCTAAATCTGTGGAAATCAAGAAAAAAACACCTTCTGGTTTACTTTATCCAATGCTGGTTTTCCATGCATATTCCAATGTGTCTCGACAAATGACTGCAAGTTAGAATTATTGTTCAAAACTCATGTGCAAAGTCCTCATACATATATCATATACTCCAAAAACCTACCTGTCCATGAATTAAATGAACAGCAAGCCAAGGGGGGAGCCATGCACCGTGAACCTGCTCATGGATTACAATAGAAATGAATCAGAATGCAGACAAAAACACTGGAATAAGACCTTTCAACAGAAACGTAGAAGTTACAAGGATATCCATTTTTCTTTTAGATGTCAATGTCATTTCATCTGTTAAGTCACCAATTGTCACAAAAGCTTAAGTTGTTAGTAAATGGGCCGAACAATGTATATCAAGCTATCCAACTCCCTCCCTCATGTGCAACCCAATCTTGCACATGGAGATGCAAATATCCATACATAGAGAGAGAAGAGAATGCATATGAGAGAGAATGCAAACGGGACCAAATGCAAATGGATAGACTTTAACCCAAAACCTCTCTTAACCTTACCTCCGATACCATGTTAATCAGGTTTTGAGAGGAAAACTAAGGTAGCGTTTGGTTTGTGTTTAGAATTATGATTTGAGTGTGGAGTTGTATTTTGAGTTTGTAAGTTTTGGAATTATTATTTGAAAAGAGAAAATTTGTTTGATTATGAGTTTTGAAAAGAATTTTGAATTATGATTTCAATTGAGTGTTGAATTTTTGAAATGAGTGTTGAGTTTGTGGAAAGTTATTTGATTATAAGAGTTTTCAAAACTTAATTCAAAAATTATAACTCATAACTAAACACACAACTTAAAACTCTATTGAAAATTCTATTCAAAGCTCATAACCAAACTCTTTTTAAAATTCAATTCAAATAAGAAATTATTGACAAAAAATAATTTTTTATTTAAAAATTTTTAAAAATTCAGAAAATATTTTTTATTTAAAATATTAAGAGAAAATATTATTATTTTTTTATTTTTTAAAAATTGCTATAATAAATTAATTTTTATTTCAAAATGTTTTTTGTTAATTTTAAATAAATGTCCAAATAATTTGTCATTTTGGTCTAAATTTTTTTTTTCTATATTTAAAAAATATAAAAACCAAATACAATTTTTTTTCCCATATAACAGGTGCCAATTGCCCCAAAAAAAAAAAAAAAAACTATTCCGATCAACCGCCCAGACGTCCAAGGGGCAACCGGGCAGACCCAAAAATTCAAAATCTGTCTCGGCAGATAACCGGGTAGACCAAAAATTCAAAAAACTCTCTGGTTTACCAAACATGTTTTCAAAATGTGTTTTGAAATTGATTTAGAATCATGATTTGAAAACTGTAAACAAACAGAGGGTTGATTATTAGTGTGGAATCATGGTTTGAAACACAAACCAAACACAGCCTAAGTATCGTATTATTAAGTTTAAGAACAATAATAATATTGCAAAAAAAATTTATTTATTTATTTATTTTTTGATAAATAATATTACAAAAAAAGTATAAATAATGTAAACTAAACAAATCCTAATAACATAATAAAAACAAAACAACACCCTCCATGTTTGTGTAGCTTATTTTTTTCTGTCCCACTGTTCGATGATTCCCCCAATAATAAACCATATAGCTTAACACCATATCCTATAGTTCCATTCCATCAGTGAGATGACATCATAACAAATTTTGCAAAGGGAGCTTCTAACTTTTGTCAAACACCCATGCCACCTTTAATATAGTCAAACAGCAACTACTAAATCCCATTGCCCTTAACAAAGAAAGTAAAACATCCAGTTGCCCTTTTAAAAATATATTCTCCCTTCTCTTATTTTGTTGTGTATTGTCACCAACCCTTGAAAACCTCTCCATCACAATGGCTACAACACCACCTTCACCTAACCAAATCATATTAACCTTTATGGCTTAATCTATCACAGACTCAGCCTCTCCCCTTTATAGACCATCATCTGAAGGCTTCACCACTGCCTCAGCCCCTTTTCACTGTGCCGTACTGTTAACCATTGGACCAGTAAAAGTAGAACAATTTAGATCATGATATGAAAAAATCAAATAAGGCTATAAATTCTTTTACCTCCATTAGTTGATTAGTTTTTGATGTGGCATCAAACTTTGCCTTCATCAATTCTTCCTGGAAAGAATTTCACATGGAATAAAAGTGCACATGTCACCATCAGTAGCATATATTATTATATTTGTATTAGCAACACAAGGTTACTAGTGTACCTCAGCAACTTGAAGTGCACGTTCAGTTTTATGAATTTTGGTCTTTTGTTCTTCAATAATCTTTTGAAGCTGCAAAAGAACAGAAAGCAAAACACAAAAATCACTATACCACGATCATTCAATTGAAATCTAGCAAACTCAAATTACATGAGAAACAGAGGAAACAATCATAACACTCATTCCAACTCTCATTCATTCAAAATCAAGCAATATTCAAGTTATTCGATAGATGGAGGAAACAAATCTTCTAGGGCGTTTACAAAGAAAAAAAGGTAGGAAGGGATTTTGATGCGTCAGATGCCAGGCTGCCTATCCAACACACAAACCAACTCCTTATTCATGATTGGGACCAGCAAAATTGAAGAAATAACACAAGTGGAGTTGCTTAGCAATAATAGATATATACATTAAGGGCAACATCAAACAAAATATATATATAATAATAATGTCCCATGGTATATGTTATTGCCAGTTGATATTCAAAATTCAAATTCTTAGAAAAGTTGCACCTTAATAAAGGTAAAAAGAAAAAATGAAAAAATTTCCAAATAAACCTGCAGGTTATATAAATACAACATGAAACGCATATATTCATGTGTCTCGGAAGTATATAATAGATCAATACTTGTGTTCTTCAAAACTTTGCTTATTTACAACATGCCCCTATTTATAAAACAACAATTTAAGAGATTTAACAATCTAATAGATTTATATCCAAGGAAGACAACAAAAGTTTATAACTTAAGAATTGGCATAATTTTTCAAGTCTACCCGAAAGATTCAAATCATTACTTTTGTGGGTATCTATATTATATTTGGCACATGGCGAGCCCTACGGGTGTCAAGTCAGCACCACTACACATCCACGTGGCAAACTCCTAAAGCACCACGATGAGTATGTCATCGCCATCACACATCTGCGTGGCAGACCCCTGAAGCACCACGATGAGTAGGCTTGTATGCCTAGCCTAAGCGGGGGGTGGACACCACCAAGTATGGAAAACAGGACCACAACTCACCTTGATAGAGCTAACTCAACTAGAGCTCTCCATGGCCTAACTTAAGAAATATATTCTCTATCCATTCACCCCAGCTCACTGCAACATAGTTGGACTCTTGGCTCACCCAGTGTTGTGAAAAGCGCGCCAAGGCGCAAGGTGAGGCAAGGCGCACTGCCTGCGACTGAACAGGTACCAGGCGAGACACTTTTAGTTAGGCGCGCGCCTTAGCAGCGACTTTAACCAAGCGAGAGAGGCGCAAGGCTCACGCCTAGGCGCGACTGATTGTTTAAGAGGTAGATCAGATCTAACGGCTGTAGGGGTGTGTTCGAATGGCTCGTAATCACAGAGGATTACAACTCATGTACCATATGAGCCAAATACGACTCAGATTAACCCTAATATGTGTCGTCTCTTCCTCTTTCGCCTCGCCCTAGACTTCGACTTCAACTGGGCTGCTGGAGCTAGACTTCGACTGCGACTGCGACTTCGACTTCGACTTCACAAGTCTGTTTGACTTCGACTCTCTCTCCCCTTCTCCGTCTTCTTCTTCTTCGACTTCGATTCTTCTGGGCTTTGCAGGTCTGCTTTTTTTTTTCTTTTTTTTCTTTTGTTGGGCTTCGACTTCTTCAGGTGTGCGTGTGTTTGACTTCGACTATTCCTCTCTCTCCTTCTTCAGTGCTCTGTTTTGCTTTTTCTTTTTTTTTCTTTTTTTTTCAATTATTATTCATAAATAATTAATTATAAATAAATAAATAATTATAAAAAAATTACAAATAATTAATTATTTGTCATATGCTATTGATCTTTTTTTTTCCTTTATCTGTTAGGGAAAAAAAATTACAAATAATTAATTATTCACAAATAATTAATTATTTGTAATATGCTATTGATCTTTTTTTTTTCCCTTTATCTGTTAGGGAAAAAAATTACAAATAATTAATTATTCACAAATAATTAATTATTTGTAATATGCTATTGATCTTTTTTTTTCCTTTATCTGTTAGGGAAAAAAAATTACAAATAATTAATTATTCACAAATAATTAATTAATACAATGTGGCATTGGTCTTTTTTTTTTCCTTTATCTGTTAAGGAAAAAAAATTACAAATAATTAATTCATCACATGATCACACATTACATTATACTGAAATTATTTTCCATTTATTAAATTTGTTGTGTAGAAAATGACATCGGAAAGTAATAGAAAAGATCCAACGTGGCAATATGCCCATTTGGTAGAGGAGAATAATTTAAACAAATTTGAGCATAATTTTTGTGGTAAAGTATCAAATGGAGGTGTTTATCGGGTGAAACAACACCTCGCGGGAGGTTATAGCAATGTCACTGCTTGCCCGAAGTGTCCTCCTCATGCAAGAGATCATGTCACAAAAAAAGACACAAAAAGAAGAAATGAACATGTTGCTTGATTTCGATGACATGGACATGGACATGGACATGGAAGATGAAGATGTTGCTGAGATCAATGTCAATCAACACCGTAAGTTGACAAGTAGTAGCCAAGATTCATCCAAATCCAAATCCAAATAAAAAATGCCAAAGAGAAAAGGGCCTATGGATGTTTACTTCACACCCAATCCGGAATCAGTGGTGAAAAATCGAAGAGACCAAGCAAAAGGGAAACAAACCAAAATTGATGCAAATGACCCTTACAAAAAAGAAATAAGAGCTCGGGCAGTGCAAAGATTTGCAAGGTGGATGTATGATGCTGGTATCCCTTTTAATGTAGTAAATTATGAGAGTTTTGGACCAATGATTGAAGTCATTGGCCAATATGGTCCTGGTATAAAGCCACCGACTTACCATGAAGTGCGGGTTACCCAACTCAAAAAAGAAGTGAAACATACTGAAGATTTGATGAAAAATCACAAAGAGGATTGTGCAAAATACAGGTGTTCCATAAAAGCAGATGGTTGGACTGATAAGAGAGGAAGGACATTGATTAACTTTTTAGCTAATTGTCCAAGAGGAACCCTGTTTGTTGAGTCGGTTGATGCTTCTAGCTATTCAAAGGATGGGCAAAAGCTATTTGAATTACTAGACAAGTTTGTGAAGAAAGTTGGAAAAGAGAATGTGGTGCAAGTTATCACTAATAGTGCTGCAGCTAATGTGTTGGCGGGTAAAAATATTTCCTCATTCCTTACATCAAAATTGTTTACTCATAGTTTGTTTTGTATTCAAAATTGAAAAACTTGAAAATAATAATTCTTCGTTATTGTTACATTATAGGGAGGTTTTTGGAAGCCAAGCATGAATACTTGTATTGGACACCATGTGCTGCTCATTACTTGGACTTGATGTTAAAAGACATTTTCAAGATACCTAGACTGAAAAAGACATTTGAAAGGGGTATTGCAGTACATGGCTACATTTACAATCGGCCTACGTTGCTAAACATGATGAGGCGCTATACAAATTTGAAGAATTTGATCAAGCTTGCAAAAACTAGATTTGCAACCGCCTTTTTGACTTTGTCTAGGATGCATCAACAAAAAAATAATTTGAGAAAGATGGTCACCTCCGAAGATTGGACCTCAAGCAAATAGGCAAAGGAGCCACAAGGTAAAAGAATGGCACAAACTTTGTTGATGCCTTTATTTTGGAATACTATTGTGTTTGCCCTTAAGGTCTCAGGTTCTCTTGTCAAAGTGCTTAGATTGGTTGATACCGAGAAGAAACCTCCCATGGGATACATTTATGAGGCAATGGATAGGGCAAAAGAATGCATTGCAAGTTCATTTGATCATAAAGAAGAGAAGTATAATGAAATCTTCGAAATCATCGACAAAAAGATGGGATGTCCAATTGCATCGGCCTTTACATGCAGCTGCGCATTTTCTTAACCCAGAATTCTTTTACCCAAAAGCATTAGAGGTGCAAAAAGATCATGAAGTGATGAATGGGTTTTATGAATGCATGTAAAGGTTGGTCCCGGATGTCACTGTTCAAGATTTGATCACTAGGTAATATATTATAAACTCATAGAGTTTATTTTTAGTAATACTTTTAATAAAACTCAATACTTGGTAACAGTTATTTTTAACTAGTGGATTATCGCAGTTGATTGGTGGGCATCATATGGTTCTAAAACTCCAAACTTGCAAACTTTTGCCATAAAAGTCCTTAACCTAACATGTAATTCATCGGGTTGTGAACGAAATAGGAGTGTATTCGAACATGTGAGTATTTAACATTCTAACTAATTTTTTGTTCAATTCAAATATTTTTATTCTCATTATATAAAATTTAATATCTTTTTAATACTTGCAGCTTCATAGCAAGAAAAGAAATAGATTGGAACAACAACGTCTCAATGATTTAGTGTTTGTCAAGTACAATAGAACATTGAGATTTAGGTATGACATGCGCAACACTCTTGATCCCATATCTTTGCAAAATATTGATGAAGCAATGAGTGGTTGCTTGGGAGGATGGATGGAGAATCAGATGAAGATAATGAGCCTGTGTTTGATGATGATGATGGCGGCTTGACATGGGCCATTGTTGCTAGAGCTTTTGGAGTAGAAGAAAGTAGCCATGCAAGTAGAGCAACAAGTTCACGCTCAAACGCAGAACCGAGGATATCTAAATCATCAACATTGACTCCACTTCAATTAATAGATAAAGAGGAAGCGAGCTCAGATGACACAGAGAAGGAAGATGTTGAGGGATATAAATCAACTGATGGAGAAGACGATGTTGCCATTGATGTTGAGGATGATGATTGACTGACACCGACCTAACCTACCCTTTCTTTTGATATTGATGTTTTTAAATGTTAAGACGTATATTAGTATTTGTTGGATATTTATGTTTTGGATGTTTTGTGTTTGTTTTTATTTTTATTTTATTGAATGTGCATTATTTTATCTTTGAAAATTAGAATGTTATGTAATATGCACTTTCATGACTTTGAGAATTATTCTATATTTTGTCTTGAATCTTGATTACTTTTTATTTTTTAAAAAATTGTCTTAGTACTATGAATGATTAGTCTATGTTAATTTTTTTATTTTTTACGAAGACTGTGCGCCTTACTTCAATAAAGCCCGCGCCTCGCCTTGCGCCTAGGCCCCGAGAGACCTTCAGTGCCTTAGTGCGCCTTGAGCCTTTAAAAACACTGGGCTCACCTATGTTCGGCTCTCTTATGTTTACTTAGGATGAGCCCTTGGCTCACCCATGCACTCACCCACTTGGCTGCCTAAGTTGGAAGTAGGACCTAGGCACTCTCGCTTGGGATCATTGGAGAATTACGGATTGGAGGCTAAGATCTCGAGATCGTCAAAGTCGTGTAGCTATCTCTCCGCAGTGATAGCTCCCCCTTCGACCTGGCTTAGAGAAAGAGACGTTGACCTTACACTTACATCTGATGCACATATGATACGCCTCTCAAGATATCATATCCACACCTGCAGTTCTTATGATGCAACCTTCCCAAGGACATAAATCATAGGACACAACTAGTAGGGCTGATATCACCCTCCTGTCGAGTTGAAGAGAACTTGCCACTCGTCCTGAGGTTGCTTGGGCTCCAATACTCCTGGAGTCTATATAACGGCATCATAAGTACAACCACAGCAAGAGCAACAAGAATCACATAACATACATTAAGTGTTCAAGGTCTCTCACTGCTACCCCTTTTCTCTCTAAGCTTGCCTTGGTCTTCTCCTTTTCCAACTTCGGTAATCTCAAGCCATTGAAGTGCCTACCATCTTCCCAAAGGTCAACGACCGATCGCCTCTAATCTCTAGTACTCACAACTTTCTATCTATTCATGATTTTAATTACACAAGCATTTATCCTTAACACAGGAACTTTTGCATTTGCTCACATTTTAGTCCCTTATGCAGAACATGTTGGCTATGAAGCACAGGCACTTCAACTTAGTTACCATAGCCATGTCGTCTTTGACACACCAAGATATTCATCGGAAACATCATGTGATGTGTCCTATTTTTTAGTTATTTTTTCTTTGCTTGAACATTTTGAAAACATTTCACAGCCACACGTGTCTTGCCTGTGCATACGACCCAAGACACGGTTATCTTGCCATGAGATGTAAAAGAGTCATAAATTCATAATCATCGTTCTCTTTAAAAAAAACCACATAAGTAGCATTCTCCCCTTAATTTCAGAATTAGTGTTTGATTGTTGAATTTGTTGAATTGTCATTCTAAATTAGTTTTTGATCATTGAAATTGCTGTTTTTTTTTTTTTTTGTTGGCTTCTTTTAATTGTAATGGTTATCAAAAAACTTTTCTATTTGTGCTAATAGCTCAACTAAAATTTCGGATATTGATACTATTTTATGCCTTGTAAGATTAATGACAAAATAAATCATAACGCAAAATACACAAAATTCTAACAAAACAAAGAACTTACATTGTCAAGATTCAAAATCAGTTCAGCCATCTTTTTCTCAGATTCATTCTTTTGAGATTCCAGGGCCTCCTTTTCCCTATCTTTTGTTCCTATTTCCTTCCTAAATTCTTCCATCTGCAGAGAAGATGCAACATTAACTTATATAACAAACAACAGTAGTCTTAAATATAACTACATACTCTGCCCATGACTAACCTGTTTCTCTAATTCACCAACCAGTGCATACGCCTTTCGCACCCGCTCATCAGCATCTAGTGTCCCTTTTCTCTAAGAAATATTGCAGTCAGAAGTTGTTAAACATTGTATGGAAAAGTGAGCAAATAATTCAAAATAGAATCAACAAAATAACAATATTAAAGGATATTAATGAACCACCTGAAGGGATGCAATCTCGCTCTGCAATGATGCAATGCTATCCGCCATGTTATGAATGATCTTCTCCTTTTCTGTTATGATATCATCCTTGCTTTTCAGTTGTTGAGTTTTCTCAACAACATGGGACTCTTCAAGAGACCATTGTGTCAGAGGAAATGAGCAGAACAGAACAAGATGCAGGAGTAAGGAAAAGAAGACAACAAATTTCAAATAACCCCATCAAAAACATAAATTGAATCAAGAAAAATCAACATATCAAGCAACAAAAGGAAAATGAATATTATTTTAAATTTTCGTTCATGTGTTTCTCCAAATATATTTTATTCATAACAAGTCAAATGGGTGCACTATAATTGTTACACATCGCCTCCAATAAAAAAGTTTTTAGCCACTAGATAATGCTGCATAGTGAATTATTCACTTTCCATATTTTGATTGGTCAGGAATTAGCAAATAAATGTCCTTTTAGGTGTTCCTGCTTCCCTATCCTTTCTCTTTTCAACAATATCACATGCCCAAATTTGAAAGTTTTTATTTCCTATTTTCTACCCGTTAAAGCCCCTTGAACTGGGTTGCAATTCTGTGTGCGCTGCCGCATGATAAGAAGGTCAAAATAACTATATAGTTGACACACACACTCGCACATATCCAAATTTGCAGACTTTCATAATGAATGCATGAATTAGTGAAGGATTCCGTCCAAATTTGGGAATTCATGTTCCCAGAGCTCCTGCCTACCTGGACGAATCAGGTGACGTAGTAGGGCCTACCTCTCTCTCTCTCTCTCTCTACCTCTTCTTTTTTGAGCTGGACAAAACATGAAACTACAGTTCCTCAAGCCATCTCCAGTTAACCAATTTAGCTACAGCAAATGTTACGCGTCTATACTATGAAGCCTACAACCAAGTTGGCAAAGCTTTGTAACGCTATTTTCATTTCTGAAAAATGCCCACGCAAGAGGTACATAATAAGAGCAGTTATTATGCCATACAAAATTGCTTTGCTTTTTTTCTTTTTCTTTTCTAAAAGATCTCTCAACTACTTCAGTTGTAGATTTCATAGCACAACTTTTTTACGATAAATAGCACAACTTTTTTAGATGGGTTCTAAAAAGAGGTACAGATTGGATGAAAACCTAACTTTTTTAGCATAAATGGTACAAAGTAGCTGCCCACATGTTCAATCCACAATTTTCCGATTTTCGTACCCACAACTTCATAAATCCTTGAAACTTCATTAAAAATTCTCTAAACTTTCAAAATTAAAACCCTATATATTGATCTTCATTAAGTTAAACAAGACAACTGAAGCATCTGAAATTCCAAAAACCTACCATACATGAGAGAGAGAGAGAGAGAGAAAGAGAGAGAGAGAGAGAAATTGCTGGAAAAATTCAAATCCAAATATGTGACTGAGAGTGTGTATGAACATGCATACATACAAACATACATATATATACAGAAGTTAATAAACTGACCAAGAGCACGGATTTGAGAGTTGAGTTGGTCCAATTCGATCTTGAGAGATGAATCGGAGTGATCATCCAATCTGACTTGTTCTGTTGTTTGTTGATGATCATGTTCATGGGCAGCAATAGGGGCATCATCATCTGCACTAACCTTGGCGGCGAAGAAGATTAGGGCAAGGAAGATGGAGAAAAGTAGGAGAAACCTCGAAGCAGCCATGGCCGATCGAATCCGAGTCCGACCTAAACAGAGGACTCCGGTGAGAGATACAAAGCAAGCGCCCACACACAGACAGATATACACCTCTCTCTCTCTCTTTAATTTTTTTATTGTTTTTTTCACTTGTTTTTTTATTATTTTGTCATTTGAATGGTAATTAACATACTATAATCATTAAACAAAATAGATTAAGTTTTTTTTTTAAATAGTCAAAATTAATCGAGTTGAAATTCAAAAGTTGTACATTATTGACTTGAATGAATCTCCAATTGTTGAGGGTATAATTAAAACATAGTATATAATTGATCCATTTTAATGTTGAGGGTATAATTAAAACATAGTATATAATTGATCCATTTTAATGTTGAGGGTATAATTAAAATATAGTATATAATTGATCCATTTTAACAAGTCTAAGTAATTTGAATTGTTTTTTTCAAATATCTATTAATTTATAAATTTCTCCTTATCTATTTACTAGCGTATGTCCGTGTCTGAAAGCACGGCATAAATAATGTTCGGTGTAAATAATGTTGAGATTAAAATGTAATTCTAATTTCTACGTATAATGTCAATTAATTAATTAATTTAATGCATCCTCAACATTTAATTAATCATGGAGAACATGAATATATTAGAAACAGTATGCTACCACCACACATAAGTCAATTTTGTTTGAATAATTGTAGGTATCATTAAAATTTAGGAAAAATTAACCAAAAAAAAAAAACTTAGAATTTAATACTTGTAACAAAATAAACTATTGAGTTTTTAATTTTATAAATTTAAAAATTAAATTTCTGATTTATTTTCAATCTAAACTATTTGCATGTTTCCAACCTAAACAATCCAAGCAATTTGTCGGTAGGAAGAAGTAGCCATCAGTTCTTTGCGGGGTCTATCTTTCACATATTTTTTTGCATTCCTATTGAAAAAAATAATAATATATCAACACATTTTGCATACCTATTGAAAAATAATAATATTGTATCAACACAATTTAAATAGCACATAAAATAAATAAAGATGTGATAGTGGCCAAGCATTTGAATGCGCAATACAATTAAGGAAACCGACCACTATCTCTTTTCTTACTCTGTTTCTTTTCAATTTCTTCACCATGTCTTCAACAGGGATGAAGAAATAGTCCATGAATTATGAGTGAAAATTTAAATTGAGTTATAGAAATAAAATAAAATGAAACAAGAATAATGACCTGTGAGAGACATGCGGGTTAAAGAAAAAAAAATAAACAAAAAAATGTTAAGACCCAAACCAATGTCAACAACCCCCACAAACCAATGTCAAGACTCTCGCCTGACAACACAAAAAAGAAAAACAAATACATATCAGTTTAAGGTTTAGAAACACCAACCCAAATACATAACATAACTTAACACCAACCCATATAAATTGAAAAATGCATAAATAAAAAAATGAAAAAAGAAACAGAACACAAAAAAAGAAAGAGAAATCCAAATACATATCAGTTTAAGGTTTAAAAACACACAAACACATCAGTTTAAGGTTTAGAAAACAAATATAAATCCAAATCTTAAAAACACAAACCCAAAATGATGGGTCTCTTTTGCTTTGATTGAAAAGAAACATAATGATTTTCAATACTCTGTTCCAATGCTTTGTGTCTCTTAAGCTTTGTTTCCAACTTTTTTCTGTGGTTCCATTGAATACATACCTAATCACACAAAACCAACACAGAAATCTTAGAAACATAAATATTAGAAACACAAACACAAATCAAAACTGAAATCTTAGAAACACAACCTAATCAACAAAAATATATAAAAATAATAATAATAATAACACAAATCCAACACAATGAAACATTGAAAACCATTTGAAAAATCACTTAAGAATATCTTAAAAACCATTTGAAAACCATTTCATGAGGATCAATTATTATTTCAAACCCAAGGATTAGTTTGTATACCATACTACAAAATAAGTCAAAAAAAATAAAAACAAAAAGGCTCTTTCAACCCACCTAAATATTTCAATAAAGTTGCTCTACTAATTTTTTAGCAACTTCACATCTCCTTTCATTCTTACCTTCGTAACACAAACACAAAGTTGTTCACCAGTTTAGAAACACAAACACCAATCCAAATCATACCCAAATACGTACCTAATCCTATCTGTTCATTAACAGCAACATAATCACCAAACCCTATCTGTTCATCATCATCATAAAAAAAAAAAATCAAAAAATTAAAAATAAAACAGAGTTGTATATGCCTCTTCCAAGTACTTCTTCGGCCTCTTTGCCACACTTTTCTAAGTACTTCTTCGACCTCTTTGCCACACTCTTCAACCTCTTCATCATGATTATCAATTTGGATAGATCAAAGTCTTTTATATGTATAAATTTTAGTTACAAAAATTTACTTTGCACAAATCAAGTCTTATACATGTATCAAGGCAGAGAAATTGGGCTTAACATATCTTGCCATTTCATCAAGGCAGAGAAATCGGGCTCTCTCTCGATGAATCCAGTGGTCGTCTCTTACCCCACTTTTTGTCACTCGTTAAAATTATCTGATAAGTCCAACCCATTACATAGCGGTATTTCCTTATTATTGAAATTACATATCAGGTGCCATGTAAACTGAACTTACTAAATATTTCACTTTCCATTTATCTCATTCATAATCTCTATTTCTTTCCCCAAATATACATTCTATCAAAAAAATGGAAAATTATAGAATACTCTAGGACTACTGAATAATCATCCAAAAAGAAAAATTATAGAATAACACATCTATTTTCAAGCATTTCTAAGTGTACAATCACCAAAATATTCCATGTTGTAATTAAAATGCGAAGAAAAAACAAACAAACAAACAACCAAATAATGGAAGAGTAAAGTTCATCAACTTATTTCAAATAGATTGTGTCTTAGTTCATAGCATATTTCGAAAGTGTGTTTAAATTTTAGCTGTTAACCAAGCTATAATATATAGAGCCAAGATTTATTCTTTGTGACAATGATGTTTGTTCACCAACCAGGATCTGGAATTAAATCCAAGTTGAATTATACTTCCGGGTTCTTCCATATGAACATTAAGCTACCAGCCAATGACTCCGGAGGAGTCGTAACAGCCTTCTATGTAAGTTTACATTTACATATATATTCGTGCTCCTTGGTATAGGTTATCACTGAGAAAAAACAAAAAACAAAAAAAGCCGATCTAGTGCAAGAAACTCCTGCTAAAAAACTGTCACTGATAACATAATGTAAATCCTTTTTTTTTCTTTCTTTTGGCAGTTGAAATCGGAAGATAGTGAATTGGATTTTGAGTTATTGGGCAACAGAAAAGGGAAGCCCATCGGAGTCTAGACGAATGTCTTTTTAAATGGAAAAGGGGGTAAAGAGCAGAGGATCAATGTATGGTTTGATCCAACCACAGACTTCCATACTTACAAAATCCTATGGAACCAACATCAAATAGTGTAAGGCAACTACCTAAACGCATTCCAATTTGAAAAATAAACTTACTCCACAAACTGCTTCTGAAAGCTAGCTATTTTCAAAAGAAATAAAATCATTATATATGAAAATTGAAAATACCCTGTTTCAAGGAAACATTTTTAAGTTGTCTTTTAAATATGTCTACACAAAGATGAAATTTATTTATTCATTTATTTTGATATTTTCAAACTTTCCATTATTTTTGTTTTTGAAAACACAAAAACATTGAAATTGAAAATGATATCACACTCCTTAAATCACAATCTGTTGAGTTCTAACTTATTTTGTTAATCGCCTTTTCCCCCAATAGTTATTCTGTTGATGAATATCCCATTCGAGTTTTCAAGAACAACAGATGCGATGGAGTTGGCTTCCCAACACAACCAATGCAACTAATGGCAACTATATGGGACGGAGAAAGTTGGGCCACGAATGGTGGAAAAACTAAAATCATTTGGGCTCACGCACCGTTTATAAGTCACTTCCGGGGCTTTGCCATTGACGGATGCCCCTATGACAGCTCTCACAGAAAATCATGCAATTCTTCAAAGTTCTGGTGGAATGGAAAGAATTACTGGCAACTGTCTCCTGACCAAGAAAGAAGACATCAAGTCATAAAGTGCAATTATATGTACTATGATTACTACAATGATAGAACTAAACACCCAACATATCCCCCAGAATGCCCACAGTGACAACAGCCCTTTATTTTCATATTACATAACCATCTGACGATAAGTGCAGTTTAAAACTATTGAATTCACAATATAATATTATGCTTAATCACTTTCTACTTCTTATAATTCTCAACCTTCTCGCGGACCTTATACATTTTTCAGGACGACTATTCGGGCCTGTCTTTCTAGTTCTAAATACACAAAATATTGTAGAATTAAGTTGCACCATGTACAAAAATATGCATACAAACATTGATGAGCAATCATTAGAATCAATGCTTCACTTGTATATTCTTCTCATTCATAGCATAAGAATCAACTGTGTCAGAACTTCATACAGTATTTCTTGAGCACAACCATTTGCCACTATCTCACCATCACAGCCCTTCCATCAAATTAAGCAAAGCAGAACACTACACAATGGACTTCAGAGCAAAACAAAATGTTCCTGGACAAAATTCAAAATAAGCATTATTTGCATTGGCTCTATAATAAAAAATCACCAAAATGTATGGAAAATTACTTCATTCAAAATAGGTCCATTAAAAAATTGTACCTCTGCAATAAATACCAATAATAAAATTATGGGCCCAAAAAGAAAGAAAAAAAAAGAAGATAAGGTCATTCAAGAAAAAACTTATGCAAATTGTGGGGATATATTTTCTGAGTACCAACACGTGGCTAAGGTGACGCCGACGTGTCAGCCGAGGTGCCACGTGTCCTGGTCATGACGCCGAGGTTATCTCAGCGAGGCTGAGGTTACCTCCGAAGATATCGGAATCCGAAATAAGCGGATAAGGTACAAGAGTCCTAGAAAAAAGGAAGACTACAGTTGAGAAATGATAAGACTCTTAGGGAGTTTATCCCAATCCTACTAGGAGTCCAAGATTGATAGTAATACTAAGTCCATTAGAGCTAGGCTCCTGTTGGGACAAGGACTGTGTTGGCTATAAAAGAGAGG